AACCCAAAAGACACTCTCAATGTCATGCCATGGGTTGTGCCGAGAGTGTTCCCCCATCAGAATGTTGATCGCCATGTAAAGGTAAGTGCCAGTGCGCCAGGGAGCTCCGGAATGGGGGTCTCCATATACGCAAGCCATGTCGAGGTCAATCAGCCGTCCGGGTGGAGGGGCGCCCTCCCCGTTCAGCATATCTGGCGACGTCACCATAATATTCGCTGGAGAAATATCTCGATGTATAACGGGCCGATCCCTGCAAAACATTTTCCGAATGGCACGTACAGCAGAACGTAGAGCCTTTATACGCTCAAGTTCAGTAACACCTCGAGGATTGGGGTATTGATGTTGTGAAAGGCCACGCGGTGTGGTATCCACAGAAACGCCACAGTACTCTTCCAGGTACCATCGCTGTCTTCTCGCGTATAAAGGCTCATCGGCTGACTCGATAGCGGTCTCGTTCACTTCCGGCATGAACAAGCCCTTCTCAGCCTCTTTATTCCGGGTCTGGTTGGCCATGACGGAGGATGTACTGTGTGTCACCTCCATATACCGATAGTTTGGTCCCATTTTGAGATATTGTCTGGAATGTCTTGCCTCCGGTAGAACGTCAAACGCGGTGGTTAAAGGTCCGTCTTTCCACTCAAAAAGCTTTGGTAGTTCCTCGATATCGCTAAGTTCACTAAGGATATCAGCTTCACTCGTGCGCGCCTCGTAGACCCAGGCCATTTTCAGCGCTGCAAGACCGTCATCTTCTGGAGGTGAGTTCTCTGTCTCCTTTTTAGCCTGTGACTGTCTTGATTTTTTCTTTTTGGGCTTCGGTTTCTGCATTTTAACAGCCCATACCGTAGTGCCGCGTGTCGTGACCATGTCGACACCCACACGCACGAGTGGCGATGGTATCTTACATCCGGCAGGAGTGAAGCTGATGGCTCTTCGACCGATTGCAGAAGGTTCCTTTGCTAAGCCCTGGGCGTCGTCACTGGCCAGCATGAGCCAGTTGACGAAGCGCAGAAAACCCAATGTATTCTGCTCGATATTAAGCCCACTTTCATAACACAGCACCTGCCCTCTGTTCAGTTGATAGAGACGCAATGTCCTGCCGGCGACGTAGATGGAGTATATGAAGTGACGAAATGGGTCGTCTCGGAACACTTGGTTGCATCTCAAAAGAGAGAGTTGTATTTCGGATTGTGCATATGTCTGATCGGCCGATTTCTTGAGTTCCCAGGTTGTCTTCATATCGCAAAACCTCACATTTTCCTTGTTGACATCGATGGCAATACTAGCTAAGTCGGGTTTGAAAAGCTTCAGGCCTTCCGCGTACTCCTCATTACTAATCCCGGACTTGGGCACCCTTGTTCCGATATTAATGAAGACGTTCTGAGCCTGTCGTGTCTTTGCCGTCGATTGTGCTTGAAGGACCTCTTGAGCTTTCTGAAGCATGCGGAAAAATATATTCTGAGAAATTATTCCCGAGCTCTTTGAGACCATATCCGACCGCCATTTCTTCCATTCGTTGGATGTCTTGAGTGCCTCTTCTGCCCTCTTAATTTGGGTTTCGGTGAACTTTGCGTTCTTGGACATCTTATTATGAAGCTTCTCAAAAATGGAGATCTTTGTGTCCTCCACGTGTGTCATGCAGCCAAGGCTAGAGATGAAAACGGGTAAGCGATGAATTTGAGTATCGTCGTGGGGGACAGAATTTACTGCATTCTGGGGTGTCTCATTGGCGACACTGCTTTTGGTTGTTGTCTTCTTAGGCGTCTGGGAGATAGGCATGACGGGTGATTCGTTCTCTGGCGAGGCTATATTCCCGTCGGGTGGTAACCCTCCTCTTCGATAGAGGCTCTCTGGAGAGGCTTCAAGGGAATGTATTGCACGCGTTCGGTGGCGTTTTGAATGAGGTATCGAGATCTCGATGCGAAGTTGGTTGGAGTTCTGTCTGGACGCCATATTTAGCATTTGACTTTTGCAATTCAAAAGTTCGAGCCTTACCTATGGCCGCAGTTGGGGGGTGTGGTGTGCCTTTTGTATGGTGCCAGACTAGTGAGACATGTTATCGGCAGTGGCGCGTTTGATTGATGTCCAAAGTTGCCGTTGCCTAGACAACAAATGCCGAAATGGATTTCTGTCACGGGACCTCATGCCAAGGATCACGTGCCAAGAGATTCCTTGTTATTCTGTACACTCTTTTCGGAACATTAAATCGCCAAAATCTTAACAACGAGTGTTCTGAGAATGTAGCTACTGGATAGCCTTTAAAACTTCGAGTTTTTCCACGACGTTGTTGGGTAAAAAAAGGTTGTGGGAAAAGGGTTGCGTTTCATACGGTAAATGGTACGACGTACCACTTTTGAAAGGGTGGACCATTACGCCAGAATAGCACTTATTTTACCACCATTCTGCAAGCGTGTATATGAGCGATTTGAGAGCTGGAAAGACATTTAGTCATTAGCTAAGTATTTCTACACAAGATCTATCAAAATTATGTCTTTTAGGCAGTGCTTATAGCGCTCTGTTGGAGTATAGTAGCTGGCGTACAGAAGTAACACCTCTCTGTTGAACTTCGTGGATTGAAAGAGTGCTCTGGCTCTCCTCATGAATGTAGGATAGAGCCCATCTATATATCTATCTAACGAGCGTACGTCACCATCGCTGCCTGTTAATGGTGATACAGTCTACGGAGTATTGAGCGAGTGTTGCAAAATAGCATTCGTTCAATGCTATTGTCCGACACTCCCGATATCGACTCCTAGCCGGCTACATGGTCCACGGATTGGATCCGATGGCAGGGTGTTTCATCGGATATAATCTACGAACCATGGATCAATAGAGCTTCTCTAGGTGGTCCATAGACTGGATCCGATGGGTGGATCATGTCGATATCAACATGTGAGGGTTCGGGGTCAAGGATACAATCAATGTAGTCTAGCTAGCATCGAGTTCTAGATACAAGACGTAGCACGAAGGAAGTCAAGATGGGATGCTACGCAGGAAGTGCTGAAGAACCTCTGATTATGTAATCCTTGGCATGTGGTCCCGTGACACAACATTTATCGAACAGGGTCCCCCGGCATATGGTCCACAGACTGGATCCGATGGCGGTGCAACAGGGCGAGTTGCCCATTTGATCACGTGACATCACCAAGCCATGGGCTTACGTGATTGGCTCCAAGCCCGCCTTCTTTTTGGTGGGTCCATGGATTGGATCCGATGGGCCGTGGTATTTCATCGGATCCAATCCGTGAAACACCTAGACAAGCCCTACTGATCATACTCGAGATGGTTCGTAACGGAGCGTTAACTGTCGAACTGTGAGATAATATGTGGCAACATTTTCAGCGTGGCGATGAATGTTCAGCTAGACAGGGACTTTATCTATACGCTGAGTACGGGCGCGCCGAAAGATGGCGACAATTGTTCCCTATACGAACGTATGATATAGAACCTTAATTAGATAGAACAGAGCACTCCTTCAATTCAAGTTGCACAAGAAATTTGACATTAACGGACGAGCCTCGATATCGAGATGATTCATGAATCGGATCCAGTCTATGGATCACCGTCATCGGATCTAATCTGTGGACCATGTGGCGAGGGGAGCATCCCACTCGACAGAAAGTTAATCTCCTCGATGAATTCGTCTTGTCTAATCTAGACCGCAAATCCACTCTATAGACCTGTCAAACTGAGTATGCCCAGGAGAATATGAATTGAAAGAGTGGTCTCGCTCTCCAAATAAGTGCAGGATAGAGCCCATCTATATATCTATCTACGATGTGTACGCCGGCGCTGTTGCCTGTCAATGGTGTTGTATGCCAAGAGGTAAATGTTACAAAATGAGTTGGTTTGCCATGAACGATAGGTCACTATTTGTTCAACAGCTCTCGAGAAACACGATAGTCGATACGCACACCAAATGACTTCTTGGTCGACCCTTGCAAAGCGAAATTACAACGAAGCTTGGTGTACGCCTTCGTAAGGGCGACGGGATTATGACTAAGGCCACCCCCAACCAATTCCCACGGTCGTGGTAAACTTGGATCCAAGGTTAACAACTAATCGTTGACCGAATGATACCTCCAATAATGGTGTCTCTATATATTTCATGGATGCAGGAGTGCATGCGCATTGGGCTATGGAGACTTGTCTATCTGACTATCTACGGATAATGAACGACTTTAAATACACAGTTACTCGTCTAGGCTGCCGCAGGCAGCTGTAGGCAGTCGCAGGCTACAGCACAGGCATGAGTACAGTCTGGACAATGTCAACAAGTTCGCCCTTTACGACGGAGCTTAAAATTCGATCAGCGTCCGGAGAAGTTGAATGTAACGACGATACCAACGAAGGGTAAGGGTCTGTCACGAGGGTGTAAGGAGAGGAATCACAAATCGTCGCGAGTTCACAAGGTAATAGGGTATGGAATGGCAATGTACCGAAATCTGTCTATCTAGCGGTTCGAAGGCTCTTCTTATACCTTTCAATCCTTTCATCTCCTTGCCTATTTTCGGCGTGCAGCCACCTTTCTGTCTTCCTGCCACTTCCACGATGGCTGGGGATACGTGTCAAACTTTTTGTGCAACTTGAGATGAAGTAGCGCTCTGTTTTCTATCTACACGAATGCTATATCGTTGCACAGAGTGAAGTTATGAGCGATTATCTTTCTTGTTGTTCTACAACTTGGTCTGCCAGCTTGCTGGAACATATACACGTTTGGTTGCCCCTATTCTACCCCTTTTCCTTAGGAAAAGGGGTGCTGGCAACCATTCAGCGCCATTGGATGCTTGCATCTTCAACACAGAGCAACCATCTAAAACGTCGTCGCCTATGGTAACCTCTCGTCTCTATCCAACAACACCATTCTTGTAGCCACGCTTAACTGCATCATCACAGGTCGTCCATATGCCTCGAACACCTCGTCCACCCTTGGTGGTCCCAGAGTCCTACAACTCCCCCCTTGTCCGTCATAACAGAATCTGTCACGTACCTAGTCCAGCACCACTCCAACTCCTGTGATATTGGTTGTCCTGAATAGACCCGAATATCATATTTCCTGTACGGAATGCATATGCGAGAGCCTCGAGCGCGGGGTATGAGCTAGTGAATATTAACCCCAGTGTAGCACCTCGACATATCACGTCGAACAGAAGTTTCCAGCCATCGAATAGAATCCCGAGCCATCATGGAAGTAGCAGAAAGACGTAAAGGGCGCTGGGCACCGCAAATGGGCAAAGGATCGAAGGGTATAAGATGAACCTTCTGTCAACAACTTGTGATGTATTGAATGCTCTGTCTACTTCGCAACTGGTCCCGCCAGGTTGTAGGTTTATATACACGTTAAGTTGACCCCTTTTCTTCTCCTATTTCTACCCCTAAATCCTGCACAGAGGTAACAACCCCTTTTTCAATAAAGGGACACTTGCTGCTGTTCAGCCATTCTTGTTCGACACCTTCGAAACCCTAGATAGACAGACAGGTTTCAGTATATTACTGTTCTATATCCTACCTTGTGCACTCGCAACGATTTATGATCCCTCTCCCTACACCCCTAGTGACAGATCCTTACCCTTCGTTGGTATCGTTGTTACAGAGGCGTTCCCATGTCTATAAAGGAACCCTCAGCAACTCGACAAGTAGATAGAGAACAGAGCACTCCTTCCCCTCAAGTTGCACACGAAGTGTGACAGATCCGATCTATGGAATATATCGATATCGAGGCTCGTCCGTTAACGTTCCATACGAGCCATCTCGAGTGTGGTTAATAGATCCTGCCTAGGTGATCCACGGATTAGATCCGATGAAATCCCATAGCCCATCGGATCCAATCCATGGATCATATTGACGTCGAGGCTCGTCCGTTCACGTTCGGTTACGAACCATCTCGAATATGATTAGTAGAGCCTGTGTAGGTCGTCCACAGACTGGATCCGATGAAAGACCCCCCGGCCATCGGATCCAATCCATGGGTCATGTGAGGGTTCGGGGCCGAGGATTCAATCAATGTAGGAGTGTATGCGCATTGGGCTATGGAGGTTTTGCCCTCTCGAGACTATCTGAGGATGAGAAATACATATCTAGGCAGACATGTCTGTCTGCGTCACCGTAGGCGACAGCAGGCTGCTATACAGAGGTGGAGCCTGGAGTACAGTCTGGACTACGCTAACACACAATAGTCGCACCTGAGGCAATTTGCACCCTTAACCTTTTCACTTAGAAATCTTCTCCTCATATTGTCTATTTATTATCTTCGTTGCCAACGACAAGTTCTCTGCCTTGTATACCACACTTGTTGCTTCCTCTACCCTCATAATCAGATCGAAGATCCTTGCCTCCAACTTCTCCGACCCGTGTGCGCTCAGGCGAGTTTGAACTCTTCACAATCTACGTGCGAGTCGTCACATTATTCCGTCTCCTTCGCTTAACCCTTCTTCGCGTCGATCATAATGAACGCTTCTGATCAGGAAGTTGAGCAAGACCAGAAGAGAATCCCTACAATCCAAGAGATGGAAAGTTGGAACGATGAACAATTGCTCGAATGGATTCGGCGAACACAACCAAACATTTTCCGCGATGACAAGGACGTTTTGACATTCAAAGCGGCAAAAATTAGTGGCTCTGCCTTCTTGGATTATGCTGAGGATCTAGACCTTTTCACAGAAACTCGTCTACCCCCTGGGGTCTACAGCTCTCTCGCATTTCTTGCAAGAAAAGTCAGTAAACAGAGTAAGATTAGAGTGTTAGATGCAACTTAGACGCTAGCTAACAGAGTCAAGAGGATCAACGGAAACAGACAGCCGATCGAAAGAGGAAAGGTAATTACGCCTTTAATGTACTATACGACAGCTAGCTAATGTCGTTACAGGGGACGAAACAGATTTATCTGAAGAGCTGCCCATTTCACCAAAAAGACGTCAAAAATATAAAGAGGAAGATGAAGAGGAAGATAAAGACATACTAACACAATTAGCCACTGAAGCGAATAGGCGAAGAAAGGCCATTAAGGATATGATTACTCAGATGAACGACTCTCCTAACCAGCATTCTGATCCCGTCAACCCTCTTCCTGGAGCTGTCGATAAACTTTCCGATCCTACATTAATTCATACACTCGATTTCCCATTTATCGATACTATACCAAAACGATTCAATGAGCCCGATATAGCTAAAGGAAAGTGGTTATATATGGGGAGAACGATATTTAAAGAGTTCCTCCACGAGGTAAAAAAAGTGCGAGAGGATGACGATTACCGAAGATTCTGGCTCTATGGAACCCAGGGCTTTGGGAAGTCTCACCTTCTAGCCGCCCTCGTCTGCTACTTCATTGCTCAAAATGAACGGGTCGTCTATCTACCGGATTGCCGATGCCTACTCGAAAGCCCTATTCCTTACGTTGTAGCAGCAATGCTGCTCGCCTGGGTCGACGATTTCACTACCCAGAAGAAGATTATGGCCTTAAACACCGAAGACCAGATTTGCCGATTCTTCAAGGACAAAAAGGACGTTATATTTGTCGTTGGTCAGATGAATGCATTAAGTCGAATCGCGTTGCGAAGAAGGAGAGGGCCGAAAGGATACGCGCATGGGTAATCAGTTTCACTTCTTTCCATAAAGGAATCTTTAGTTCCTCTGCAAATTCCACGACCGATCTTCAAGAGTTCCAGCATGAGGGCCCGAACAAAGTTATAACTGTTTATGGCGGTTTCACCAGAGTAAGTGGTATTAAATTCGTGTCACAACAATGTTTCTAACTTACTTAGACGGAAATGGAGCAGTGGTGGAAGCAGCATGAAGATATTGATATGAGAGGGTATTCCCGGAACGAGGTTGAAGACTTTACAGGCTGCATCCCACTGCTCTTGAAGCAATGCGTGAAGAATGGGAAGATTAATTTGACGACCACCGAATTGCGCCAAATCTATGGCAATTCTGTGGGGTTTACGCAGCTAGTTAAGTCTACTGCTACGGATACTATTTGGGAGTGGTATGTTCGACTGATTGGATGCTTAGGATATTTCTGACTTTTCAGGTATTGCAACTACGTGAGAGCTTGCGTCCGTCACGAGCCTGTACCAGATGAATGGAGGCAATTCCTCGAACTGATCGACCATCGATACTTTTATCACGATAAGAACGACATTGGACAGTATACCTGTGGTTTAGTTCGTGACGCGATAACAAATAAGCTTCTCGAGTTGGGTGTTACTTTTATCGACATCAACTTTCTGAATTCATTGCCCAACTTTATCCACAATCGATCTGTTGTCGAGTATGCAATCGAACACGCCATCCTCGCATCCATCCGGTCACAAGGTTTGAGGGTTGGTGAGTGGGGTAGCAAAGGTATGGAGTTAAGCTTCTTTCAGACTCAACCCAGTATTCAGTCCGATATCCGCGATATGCCGGTACTTTATCGCCCTCGACAGACCAATTACAAGACGATGGATGGAATGATTGCCTTTATTAAGGACCCCCAAAGAACCGCTAGAAGGAAAAAGCCGATATTACTTCTCTTCCCCCTCCGGATCACGGCGGCAAAAAACCACTCGAATTCTTATCTGGGATTCTTGGATGAATACCGTCAGTGGGCGGAGCAACAACTATTGACGTTTGACATTGAATTAGAATTCCTCTGGATCACTCCAAAGAAACCCAACGTCATACCACACCCGCCCGATTCACCGTGGCCTAGACACCAAGAGCGTTATATTCCTTTCTCGGAGGTTAGCACAGATATCTGGATTAGGTACCAAAGAGCAGAGAAATCCAAAGAAAAGAAAGGAGGCGGTGAAATGGAAGGAGACAATAAAAAGAAAGACGATCAAGAGGAAGAAGAGGAGAAAGCCGAAGAAGAAGTCGAAGACCAAAGAAGTGGACGCGTAACGCGGTCTAAGGCAAGGCAATCTAGGACAAGGCGATCGAGGGCGCGCTAGCGGATGCTGGACGTTATTGGTCAAGTTTATCGTAGTAGATGGGAGAAGCGAAGGATGTAGGGAACTGTACGAGTAATAGATCTCATAAGCGAAAGATAGAGAAATCCGTATCCCAGATGATCAGAAGGTCACAGGCATCGCTTTCGTGGTTATCCCTTAAAGGATTTCGAGCCGCCTCAGCTCGCGTATAGCTATCGACTCACGGTGAAGAGCATTAATGTTTTGTTTTCATGTTTGTGGGAGTCGAAGGACGGTCGATTCGAACGCAAAGAATAGAATAACAAGCTATATCGAATGCTCTTTCGACACAGCTACTACACCGTTACGGCGGCTCGAGATCAAGCTCGTGCTTAATAAGAGATTGCATGCATACTACGAGCAATTCCAAACTCATACTCCTCTTCCGAATCCATTACCAACGTCGTACATTAAGCATCACCCTAGTGACGGTTGGCAACTGTTGAGAGAATGGAATGTAGAAGTGCATGGACCTTGCCTACTTGAGACTATCTACGGATGAATGAGTAGCTTAAATACACAGATATTACTCTAGGCAGCAATATATCTATCTGCGTAGCCGTAGGCCACAGCAAGCTGCCATACAGGGGATGGAGCAGGCACAGTCTGGACATTTCTTATAATAGCAACTCACCCCCGAATTATGGTGTGATCGATATATACTTTATGTAGTGCAACCGGAGCTGCGTCTTCTTCATCTATTCGAAAGCGAGCTATTTTAGGAGCTAATTCGTTTACGAGAGCAATAGGCGGTCGACGGTGAGACGGCATTATCACGAATTGATAGAGCGAGAGCAAATGGAGTGGCAACTGTTGAAAGTTTCAGGCAGTAGAAGCATGTGTATTCCGGTTCTATCAATGAGGACAAGGAAGAGATATATATACTTCAAATCTTCCCGTACGAACATTTATCTGATTTCAAAGTACCGGAATGTTTCCATGATCTATTTGTCAGTCAACGCTCATATCACAACAGCAACAACGACGAGAAATGTATCGACGGGAAGATACTGCTTATTGGCGAAGGCCTAGTGAATATCTCGAGAAAGAGCTTAATCATCGACTGCGTCACGTTCAATAGTAAGTGTCCGTATGATGAAGTCTACAACAAATCATTCCCATTACATCTTGCCTGCCCTAGTGTTTCAATTCGAGAATGTCAGACGAGAGGTTCCATAGACGACGACGTTACAGATGGTTGCTCTGTGCAACGATGTAGTATTCGCATGTTTATAAAAGAAGCCTCAAGACCTCGACAAGTAGATTGAGAACAGAGCGCTCCTTCATCTCAAGTTGCACAAGAAGTTTGACAACAGATTGGATCCGATGAAAGGCCGCCGTCATCGGATCCAATCCATGGATCATGTCGACGTTGAGGCTTGTCCGTTCCGCTCGGTTACGAAGCATCGAGTGTGATTAGTAGAGCTTCTCTGGGTGGTTCACAGACTGGATCTGATGAAATACCACGACCCATCGGATCCAATCTATGGACCATCTCGGCGTCGAGGCTTGTCGTTCACGCTCGGTTACGAAGCATCTCGAGTGCGATTAGTAGAGCCTGTCTAGGTGGTTCACAGATTGGATCTGATGAAACGCCACGATCCATCGGATCCAATCCATGAACCACGAGTGGGAGCCCCCCGGGAGGCACATGGTTCATGGATTGGATCCGATGAGGGTGACGCTGGAAAATATTTAATCCGAGAATGGCACGGAGTATTTCGGAAAAAAATTAATCCGACGACAGTGGTTCGGAAAATATTTGATCCGTTAGGGTGGTTCACTTAATCTACGGACTATGTCGAGTAGGAAGGGCGCGCCCCCTCCGGGGGGGCCACATGGTCCATAGACTGGATCCGATGGCGACGCGGTAGGAATCTCCACGAGATAATGTGTCACATGACTTTGCCAAGCCGTATGCTCACGTGATCAGCTAGCACGACGGTCTTGGCGTCGCCGCATAACGCCAAGCTGCAACCGGGTAGTTCCAAAATAAAAAAAAGCCAAAAAAAATTAAGGTTTATCATTTATTCTTCCAAAAACTGCTTCAAAATTGACACCAAATCGTGGTTGACCTATCCAGGACGAAACTTCGTGGGCACACTAAGTTTCAGTCGAACCAATAGAATTGAGGGACCTTACTAGTGTTCGATCATAGGTAAGGCAAGAGGGTTGTCCGGCCTAGATTTCTAGGTGCCCTAGATGGGTAAACGTAATGCTCCAGCCAGTGATTGTTGATGTTAAACTAAGTGATACCGAGAGAGGTCACTGATTCAAACCTTCCTATCGGTGAACTTGTCTAGCTCAAGCTTTCATTGGTTGTGGCGCCCCATTTATCAGTTCGTCAACGATGGACTAGAGGAGGGGGGCTTTTGGTGTTAATTATTTTTGTCGTTGTGAAATCGTGTATATATTGACGTAAGGAAATATAGTTTAGTACTGTGGAGGGTACGTAACTTAAACTTCTCGTGTAACGTGTAGAGGGTATGACAGAGAGGAATCACGTGTGCACAAGAATAGGGTGAGGAATGGCAAAGGACTGAAGCCTTGCCTTCTTGCAACTGGTGACTACTCGAGTTTATATCTTCAACACATTGGCCTGGTTGAACTCGAGTTGTCCGACTATCAGGAATGCCAAGGAACGGAAGGGCGAGCGTGATTTAATAGGGAATTGATGGAATTGACAGTCCTATATGATATCGACTCGATCGCTTGAGGAGTCAAGCGATGATAAGGTGAGATGAGCAGGATCTAGTGTCTTGGCAGGGGCCGCCCTGACAGTGGGAGCCTTGTGGTATGACTACACCACAAGGCTACAAGTATCTGGGATAACCTCGCACTGCTTTCATGTTCTTCGTCTCTCGTCTTGTGCTTTATAGTGCTTTGGGTAGCAATGTGTTGGATGACGAGAGGCCTCCATAGGCGACGACGTTATAGATAGTTGCTCTGTGCAACGATGTAGTATTCGTGTATCTATAAAAGGAGTCTCAGGACCTCGACAAGTAGACAGAAAACAGAGCGCTCCTTCATCTCAAGTTGCACACAAAGTTTGACATTAAATACTGACTAGCCAAGGGGGGTGTACAGAATAGGGGCTGCCATAGGGTGAGGAATGGCCCTCTTGCAACCTATGACTACCTAAGTTTATATACGCGATGTGGCCGTTGGCCTCCACATTCAGCTTCTATACATAGTATAGTTGTTAGCCCTAATATTCTGCACATAGTCTCTGTCGGTGGCTGAGTTTACAGATGGTGATGATGATGATGACTGTCATGTATTAGAATAAGCGCCAATTAGCCGTAAATCCGTTATTCTGGAGCTAAATGAGCCATCTCCAGACAACGCTTATAAAAGCGTCCGTCACAATTTTGCCGTCGCAGGATCCTGGCCTTGTGCTCTAGCGCGCTCCCTATCTCTGAGGAGCCGCCTCAGGATTTTCCCACTTGGAGACTTTGGAATGATGTCAATGAATTCGATGCCTCCTCTTAGACGTTTATAGTCAGCCTTCTCTTTTGCAACGTGCTCCTGAATGTCTCGGCGTAATTTTGGGTCCGAGTCACTTGCTGCCACGGCCTTGACCACGTATGCCTTTGGCACTTCGCCAGCAGCATCATCAGAGATGGGAATCACTGCACAGTCAGCAACGGCAGGGTGAGTGAGGAGGCAAGCTTCTAGCTCTGCCGGTGCAACTTGGTGGCCCTAGAGAATTTAATGTGCACATCAGCACCCTCCGAAGTGTCCAACTTTCGCCATGACCTTACCTTTACTTTTATCAATTCCTTGATACGGTCTACAATCCAAAAATGTTCATTTCCACTCGGAGCTTTGCGAACGACGACTTCGTCGCCTGTGCGCATGTACCGGCCATCCTGCAGTTCGACATAGGTCTCACGCGTGGCGGTCTCGTTGTTGAGATATCCCAAGGTGATGCTTGGACTTTTGACGAGTAGCTCTCCCGGCTCGTCATGTCCAACAATCTCTCTACCTTCGGGAGATATGATCCTTGCTACGAAACCGGGAAGAATACTGCCCGAGCTGCCAAACCAGAGATCGTCGGGAATTGAGCTGGTGACCACTGTACAAGTCTCAGTGGTACCGTAGCCTTGACGAAGCGCCCAAGAAGGGTACTGTTTGTTCATTTCCTTCGCGGTTTCTTCCCCCAGAGGAGCGGCACCAGTGAAGATCATTTTCACACTGGAAAGGTCGTATGTGCTGCACAGTTGTTGGTTTTTGACCATGGTGATGATAATTGGAGGGACCAGATATAACGTGGTGATTGCATAGTTCTGGATGCTGGAAAGATAATGCGTCAGATCGAACCTCGGAAGAATAACCACCGAGTCCCCGCGGTACATGCTGACATGGCTAATGACAACGAGTCCATAGATATGCGACTGTGGAAGGAGACCCAGCGCAACGTCTCGATGGTCAGAACCACCGAGTGCATGGCGCATTTTTGACTCGAACGTGGAAATTTGGATGACATTAGCGATAACGTTGCGGTGCGAAATCATGACGCCTTTGGGTAAGCCACTCGTCCCACTGCTGTAGCAGAGAAAAGCAATCTGATGAGCACCTTGACCACTTTCCCATTTGATCGGTGGAAGGTCAGGGAGCGACTTTCCCGTTTCGACGAGCTGGAATACCGTCTTCAGATCTGGAGGATAGGTCGATGGATCGTCGCCAGGCATCTCGCAAATAAAAATCTTAGACCTTCGGATGCCAGCCTGTTTGGCACCCTTGAGCGCCACTTCGAGGAGCGGCAAAACGGTAAACAAAGCTTGCGCCCCGGCGCCGACCAGTTGATGTGCTAGTTCTGTCGCATTGTAGATAGCGTTTACTGGCGATGAGACGCCATTGAGTCGATGAATTGCCCAGTTTATCGTGGGGACATCGATTGTGTTCAGAGCGAACACAGCGGCTACTTTGGAGAGTTCAGCACCCTGGTTGACCTCCCAACCGAGTTCTTTTGCCAGCGATCGCGCGAGGTACGTGACTCTTTGCTTTTGTTCTTGAGGAGTGATTCTCCTGCCGCTCAGGCCATCGACATAAGGGTCCAGAGATGTGGCGAGAGGAGCTCGGCCATGTTTCTCTTCGAAGAGAAACTCTGGTATAGGGACAGTATCCGGAACCGCGGGGAGCTCGGGGACCCAGGGAGGAGCGATAAATACCATGTTGGCCACGGTGACTCTCGTGAAAAGATGAATCTTCACAGCCGCCTAGAAGTACCTAAGCAACGAGACCTATTTGGGGGATGCAATGCACACAAGGGGCCAACTAAAGGCTCAGAAATGGTGGGTCCGGCTCGAAAAATGAGAGTCCACATGCCGAGGTGAACTGACTCAGCCAGGCTGGCCTCAGCCATGGCTGCGGGAAGCACGGGAGACTACTTACGTCTTCTCAAGCGTTCGTATATTGATTGATTATGATTGTTGATATCTTTTGTTTAATTTGCGGCTCAAACTAACCCATCTAGCCCGACATCGGCTGCTTTGGCACGGGAACAAGCATGGACTTGGGGGATTGGTAGCAGAGTTCCAGGCAATGATGCTCCGGGATTTAACGTAACTTAATACGCGTATTCGCTAAGCAGATGCGGAGGTCTAAAGAATTAGAAACGCGGGGACGTCGGGTCGTTATCTACCGATTATGACGAGTCGGTACGATCGTGATTCTACCTTCTAATATTATATCAGTTCAGAGAGCTAATACGGCTCACGTCAGATCGTCGCTACAACTTGGACGCAGGAAGAGACTAACATTTGGAAAGCATCATATTCGGCACGAGGGACACACACAATGCATCTTAGCCAGCCTTGGACTGCCTTCGTAGCTCTGACAGCCTTGCTACACCTGCATATCAACGTGAAAGCATCACCTTCTGCTGATTTTAAAGATCCCCCGAATGAGTACCGTCCCAAGTTCCGCTATTGGTAAGAAAAGCTCTGTCAGATTGGAATGCCACAAGTGGACATTCGAATGCTTTTGAATGCTTATTCGATTTCAGGTTTCCTGACGCGAGTGTTCCTATCTCCGTTGTTCAGAACGACATTGCAAACCTCTCTGCCGTTGGTGCGGGGGGCCTCGAGTTCCTGCCGTTTTATCTCTACGGCCTGACCAGTGGTTCGCCGCCAACAGATTGGAGTATCTATGGGTATGGCACACCTGCATACGCAAAGGCGTTCAAAGGTGCTCTTCAGTCTGCCAAGGACAACAATCTTGTTTTTGACTTCGCCGTGGGGGCGAGTCAAGGACAAGGCGCCCCAGCGGCGCCAGGTAGCAGGGGGCTAGCTGTGCAACTTGTATGTCCCTCCTCGTCCCTCCATCTTACGCAAATCTGGCGCCAACATTTTAGCTTGCGGGAAATGTTTCAATTGCTGGTGGAGAAGCATTTAATGGCCCTGTTCCTCCTCCAAAAGAGATACCAGCCACCCTTGCGTCTGGATTGGGATTTCAACACGCATTGGAGCAGTTCGGGACTCCCAATCTCACAGCTGTCATTGCCTTTGAGATCGATCAAGGTATGTTGTTGAGTCACCGAAGAACCGCGCACTGAGTCATAATACTAGTCACTACGTCCACATCTGGGGCAACTGACCTAGTGTTACCAGCATATGTTGTCAACGAGGAGTCTGTAGTCGACCTTACAGAATCTGTAGTGGGTGGTAACCTATCGTTCATGCCGCCGAACAACAATGCTACATGGCGTATCTTTAGCTTCTGGGAAGCATACACCAATCAAAGATCATGTGCAGGAGGTGTGAACGCTACAAACACCGTATCGAATGGGTCGTGGGTCGTGGATCATTTCTCCTCTACTGGAGCTCAGGTTACCACGGACTTTCTAGACCACCAAATTCTATCATATCCTGGGGTGGAAGAGCTGTTGAAAGACGTGGGCAACTATGGTGAGACTGTTCCCACTCGATACTTGATGAAGCATTGACATATGGACAGCCTGGGAGGACAGCATGGAGATGATGGCGACTCTCTGGTGGACTCCTGGCTTTCTCGGTCGATTCGAGCGGTCTCGAGGATACAGACTAACGAAATATCTTCCACTGTTGTATGTTGCAGGTAATCAGTGGGGACAGTTATTTCCATCTTATTTGGAGACGTACATCTATGGAAACTATACTAGCGATGGCATAAGTGTCCACAACCTCGACTACAGGACCGTCCTTAACGAAGGCTACCAAGAATACATCGAGCACTTTAAACAATGGGCGCACTCGAATGACATCAAGTATTCGGATCAACCCGCTTACAATTTACCCCTTCAGATGGTATGTTCAAGGACATCAGTTCAAAATGTGACAGTGATGTTAACGTGGTGCAGCTGAGCGATATCCCACTGCTTGACGCCCCAGAAACGGAATCCCTCGGATTTGGAGACTTGGTTGACTCATATCGCCAGTTCTCTGGTCCGGCACATTTGCACGGCAACAATGTGGTATCATCAGAACTCGGTGCCGTGTTAACGCCTTCATATTCTCAGACGGTCCCTGATCTATTGTACCATATCAAGAGATCATGGGCTGGCGGCATCACTCAAATTGTCATCCACGGAGGGGCATACACTGGGAACTACCCCAATACCACATGGCCGGGCTACCAGGCATTCGGCTTTCGATATACCGAAAATTGGAGTGGACTACAGCCTTGCTGGCAACATTTATCGGACACTCTCGACTATGTCGGACGCACTCAATACGTGCTACAACAGGGGATCCCAAAGATAGACCTAGCATTTTATTTGTACGAGAGTCCTTACACCCCTGCTACACAATTCCAATCGGACGCCCTTCAGAAGCTAGGTGAGTGGAACAGGGACGCCTGCTAAGTTATCAAACTAATATCCGCTTAGGTTACACATACGACTATCTCGGACCGGACAACCTGCTAGATTCCAAAGCAGTAGTTAAAAATCAGGTGCTAGCGGCTGATGGCCCTGGATACAAAGCATTGATATTCTCGAACCAGACTGTCATCTCCACCGCGGCTGCTGCGCAAGTGTTGAAGTTTGCGGAAGCCGGCTTCCCAATATTCTTCATCGGAGCGCCCCCGAATCAAACATTGGGCGCGTCAGCTCAGGCACAAGCACATACTCAAATTTTGATTGAACAGATTTTGGCGAAGACGGGCAACGTTCATCGGCTGGACTCTGCCCGAGACTTGGCGAACGCACTCTCGTCAATAGGAATCGCGCCCCGGGCCCAACTATCTTGCTCAAGTAATCCTGTCTATACTGTTTGGCGTTCAGATCCCGCCGCCAAAAAGGAATACCTGTTCATTTACAATGATCAATCGGTTGCGACGACATGCACGGCGAATCTCACGGTAGCAACGTCCAAGACCCCGTACATTCTGGATGCTTGGACCGGAACGCAAGAGCCATTGCTATCGTACCAGCGCGCGTCCAACAACACGATATACATGGATCTGGACTTGAAAGCAAACGAGACCCGCATTATCTCCTTTACCCAGGACCGCAGCTACAACAATTCCATCGTGCGGAAAAGTGTCAATGTTAAGTGGATGAGATCGGTTGACTCTACACATATAGCCCTTGTACTCGCAGGACCAGCAAACGTTACCAGCAGCACGGGGAAGGTGTCTTCCTTCAACCCGGCTCTCCCATCTGCCACAAGTCTCAGAACCTGGGACTTGACGATCCAGGACTGGCATGGCCCATCATCTCCAGAGGACTTTTATTCAGTAAGGACTGAAATCACTACCTCGCACTTATCCAACATCTCTCTGGTTCCCTGGAGCTCCCTTGGACACCAATACGCCAGCACCTCTGGCGTTGGCATCTACACGACAACGTTTGCAACACCTGAGTCTAATTCATCCTCTTCGCTAGGTGCATTTCTCTCATTCCCGCCAGTCCAGCATACTCTTCGTGCCTCATTGAACGGGCACAAACTGCCCCCTGTTGACCCCACAAACCCCGTAGTTAATATTGGGCCGTACCTCGCGAAAGCCGATGGCAAGAGGGTGAACACACTTGAGGTTAAGATCACGACGACACTCTTCAATAAGGTCAAAGCGGAGGCTAACACTCACATGTTCGTTGGATCACCAATCAGTGAAGCCCAGCCGTTGTATGCAACCACCCCGAACCAAGAGTACGGGCTCCTTGGACCGGTGGAAGTAGAGTGGACAACAATTGTGGAAATGGTGCTCTAGGAACGACGATTCCGAACCTACAGGTTAATGGCCTTGCTTCCATTCTTTGCATAATGCCATGTATAGAAGAGCTATCGCTCCATGCAACCCTACTTCCAGGAATATGCAGCGCAATCTTTCACCGAGGGGTCCACCCTCGGTAGAGTGAGCGCCGAAATAAGCGGGAAACCCCCTTAGAATCATGATGGCTAGAAGACCGAGTCAAGTTCCATTTAGGTTAGAAGCCCACAGGCTCGGCCCTGAATGCAAATATGGACTGGACTTGCTGACATCATGAAGGCTGACAATGTCTTTAGCAGTAGTCCAGTAAAATTTCCCTAATCACGCATACTTTGTTGTCTGAATCCCTCACTATCGGTCCCAGCGCGTGGCTCTGAGATCTTCCAATCACCTTCGCCGGGGTCGTCCTCACGGCTCAATCTCCATTCGCATTGAGCGGTCTTCTATGTTGGCGAAACAAGCTACTTTCGTCTCTCCACCAGCCTAGGGAGCCAACATCGGAATTTGAGTGGCTTATCTCCCTTCTGGCATTCCTCTGGGCCTTCTTCCATCTATCCTCTTACACGCTTGACAGGGCTCCCGCCGTACACATTGATCGATAACCCTGACACGCCTTTCTAACGGCATGTTTCGACACAATCTTCTAGTAACACAACTGGCGCCTTAGACTGGTCCATGAACATGGCACAATCCTCCGAGATGCGCTTTGCGGCTTCGGGAGCGTTCATCGCGGCAAAACTCTCCCGGAAAGCAACTTCGTCTTCATACGTCAACTCGGAGACAGCGTCAAAGCCGAAATCTCCTTGAACACCACTGAGTAAGGCAGCGGAGTATGTGCCATCTGGTTGTTTTGTGCGCCGAATATATCGCCGGACGTGACTAAGTGGGAAGGTCGGGCCCGCGATCTCTCGCACTAGTGGAATGTGGACGGTCTCGTAGTGACGTTTGAAGTCTTCTGGGGTCATTCCAGGCTTACGGTAGACGAGAATAAGAACTCTGCAGGTCATGTTTATGGTCTTCGCTTGGGTTGACGGCGGGACTGTAGAGAAATCACACGGCTGAGAGACAGTATTTTGGGGGGTAATAAGAAGGCCCCGACACAGGGAAGTTGCTGATGGAGCCGACCCACTTTGAATTTTATACGGAACAGTGCGAAATAGCCTCGAATCGATACTGCATCGCCCGAATGGTGGCTTTGGGAAAGGCATGTCTCCACGAATTCTGCCTGACGTCAAGCAGACTAAGTCAGTCAGGGGCAAGGCTTTCCCCAGAAAGTGAAAGTTACGTACAGTCAGTTACTTTGACATGAAGAGTACCTAACGTGCAAATTCGTACTCGCGCTCATAAATCAAGAAGGCATGACTTTCTAAGTCAACCTCTGGGACGCGCAAACACAGAGAGGATCAATCTCCTCCATCCCACTCCAGACCCAGTTACTGTCGCGTTCTCTTCCCTTCCTTATGCTCTACTCTTTCTCGAATAGTTATGGCGAGCCACATAGATGACCCTCGAATCGAAGCGGCCCTCGCAAGAAGCCTTGAACTAGGCGAGACCGCTGTCGCTGTCGCCGCATATCACAAAGGAGAACTCATAGTTGACGCCTTCGCCGGAATATCAGATAAAGAGACCGGCCGCCGGGCAGATGAACGCTCCTTGTATCCTGTATTTTCGGTCACCAAGGGTGTCACGGCATTGGCGGTGCACATGCAAGCCGACCGTGGGTTACTGGAACTCGACGCCCCGATATCTCGATACTGGCCCGAGTTCGCCGCCAATGGAAAAGAATCCATCACCGTGGAACAGGCGCTCTCCCACCGGGCTGGAATCCCTCAGATGCCCGCTGGAGTAACACCAGAGCTCATGGCCAACTGGGACTGGATGGTCGATCGGATCGCCAAATTTACTCCCGTCTTTCCCCCTGGGACCGCAAATGCTTACCACGTCCTGGTCTGGGGCTGGGTCCTGGGGGAAGTGGTGTGCCGAACTGACCCGAAGAAGCGGCGATTTGAAAAGTTTGTGGGAGAGGAGATCTGCCAGCCGTTGGGTATTACCGATTTCCATCTCGGGGTCCCTCCAGAGGCACTGTCTAATGTGGTGACGCTTTACGGAGGCAACTCCTTCCCCATCGTCGACCATCACGGTATCTGCCCCATGTCCGTGTTCCCGGGTGCCGACATCCACAACCGTCCGATTATTCGGCAGTGTGTGGATCCCGGGGCTGGGGCCATTGCCACTGCCTCAGCGGTAGCTCGAATCTTCGCTCTCATCGCCAACGGAGGCGAACTTGATGGGGTACGCCTCTTGTCAAACGATAGAGTTAAAGGCCTGGGAAAGCCGAGAGAAAACGCTCATGATCCGGACAAGATCCTTCCTATTCCTGTGTGGTTCGGCGCCAGCGGATTCTGGCTCGGCGGTGAGGTGGGACAATCTGACCCCCTTGTCGGTGATCACCGCGATATCGTCTACAGTCCTGGAGCTGGAGGAACCGTCGCTTGGGCTGATTTCCGTGATGGTATTGCGGTGGCTCTTTGCCATAACAACATGGAGACCCCGGCCATCCTGGAACCTGAAAGGACCTTTGCGCCGATTGTCAAAGCGATCCGCGAAATCATCGGTGAGAGAGCGAATAGATGAGAGACATTCACAGGAGGATCAGGGCGTGGCCAAAATTCATCGCCCTCGACTGATAAGATCGCTCTGGCATCCGCTTCAACTGTGTACAATATCAATAGCGTCGGCATCAACATCTCCCTACATAGCCAAGTCTAAACTCGAAATTGACAGCGGACCATAACAGTCTGAATTCATTCGTGATGACGTTGTCTTGCGTATATACCGACGGATGCTATGCATTCCAAGCATCCTTTCACATACCAATACGTAATCAGGAGACAGCCTTCTTCATCAAGACCTTCAACTTCGTGTCAGGCAAACACATCGTGGCAACGTAAATCGGTTTCGGACCCGTCCCTGGCTCCAGAGCGAGATCATACCGAAGTAGAATGAGAGAAAAGAGCAACTTCATCTCCGTGACTGCAAAAAAGCGGCCGGGACTGGTGAACATTAGGATCAAAACTCGCCCGGGAAGCAAGGAGCAACAGATCCCCTCTCCACAATGAGCAGGGCTTCCCGTAGGAACTCACCAAGCGTGTTTCCCGTGTCCGAAGAGCTGATAGGCAGGATCGGTGCTGATCATGGTATATTTGATCGCTTGTCCAGTTTCCGCATTCTCTCTCAGCCGGCTGAAGCGAAAGCCGTCAAATACCTCGGGGTTGTCGTAGAGGGCGGGATCTCGATGAACAAAAAGGAGTGGTGTTCCGACTTTCGCTCCGGGAGGTATAACCGTCCCGTCAGAGAATGTGAATTTTTTCTTTGCGTTCCGTTGCATGGAGACTGTTTCACAGCATCAGGGCGCCTTGGTCTCTTTCCCTGGGAAAGACTCATAAATGCTTACGAAGTCCAGCGTTGTTGAATCTCCCAGCTTCTCTGAGGAAGCTGTCCATCTTCACCAGTTTCACCAAAGTGTCTTTGGTTATGTTGCCATCGGGGGCATGCTCTAAGACTTCGGCTCTCAGTTCCGCAGTGTACTTCTCTGGCTCAGCGGCAAGGCAGTAAAGGGCCCCTGAGAGAGTCTGGAAACCAGTTACTCAGCATGGACGGTTGAAGACTGAGAAGGCTAGATAGAGACACCTTACCATCGTCGTGGTATGTATAGAAGCCACGTTGAGAGCCATGATACGTTCTGCCAACTGCGGAATCGTCCTTTCGATCGGCGGTGCAGCGTCAACTAGCCATTGAATCAAATCATCAGGTTTCTGTCCATTCTCGTCCAGTTTGCCGTCCAGTCTGTCTTGAATGATATGTCTGAGGAATTTGAGGCTCCTACGACGGTACCATGTCACCGGCGCAACTTTGATCAGAATACTTTGACTAGATGTCAGTAGATATTCGGTAGGGTGGCAATAACCCACCTCTTGAGCCAAGGCGGGAACATGCGGACGAGCTCTGCAGAGATCACTACCGCTGCTGCGTAGTTTATTGCGTTTTCAAGGTACTCTTTGTTCCTGGCTGGTTTTCCAGTTAGACAGTTGCCCTGAAAGAACATGTTTGCTAGGAGCCCCCTTGCGCAGGGTGCAGCTTACACAGTATGGGTCCAACAAAAACCCGACTGCTGGTCCGTGCAACTGCCATGGCAATGATGTCGTACAGGGCAAATTGTTGAAACTCTGTGGTAGCTATGGTAAGCAACTTGTTCGGAGACAACCAAATCATCACACGGAATTACCTGAAGGGGATCCGATCATGTCGTCAAGAGCGAGGCTCATTTCGTCCATCATTGCAGGGATATGAGTTTTGAGGCTCTGCGTTAGCTGTATCCGCACAACAGGCGTGTGGTACGTCCTGAAAGCCACACCAAAACCCATCGTGTACTCGATTTGTTGTTGCTTATTCTCAGTCAACAACCATCGTATGGACGGACATTTTTCGCATTGATACACACATCATTGGCAGCTTCTTGGAAGCCTAGGACATCGTCCGGGGCCTTTACATACTCGGCAATTTTGTCCCTCTGCGCGATCAGGACATACTCGCCCTGGAGAGTCGAGATGCGGAAGAAACCCCGGTTGTGTTTTTCGATGCCCTGCCTTGTCAACTCGACGGGGGACCGCATGAACTTGAAAGCCGCGATCCACGAGGAGAGAATCGGCCAGGCGCTATATCCGATCCCAGGGACTTTGACCTTTTCGAAGCTTCAGCCTCGTACCTCCGCCATAACCTGGAGGTTGGATTATGGGGAAATAGCGACACTTACCCTCTTCTGATAATTACTGTACCACTTGGACGTCAACAGGACAGTCAGAACGGCGAGGACAATATGCGAAGTGGTAAAATGAGGAACCCCCTGAAGGGCGGTGCTCCCCGAAAGAATGTCTGTTCGCGTCGCGTCGTGAGCCATCTTCTGCCTTGGATGCAACAATTCAACAAAACCCTCGCAATAGCGGACCCATAGATAAGTTACCAGGAAACTTGCCCCCGTTCGGAATCGAGCCCTGACTGCCGTCAGCCGGGCTGACTCATTGGAACGCCTCGGTCATAGTCGACAGAATTGTTCCCCACATCTTCTCCCCACACAGAGATATCCATAACGAATCCAATAGCAGACGGGGACGTGCTGGCAGCTCAGGGGTTGCGCGTCCTGCACTACCAACACGACGACGACAAGCACGACAGCACGATGAAGTCAAGAGAGTTCAAAAGAGGTGGAATCGATAACGCCACGGGGATACTGTCGAACAGTGTGTGGCAATATGTTACCTGTGGCGATAAAACACAAGGATCTCACATATAGGCTGAGCACGGAGACAGAGAAAGGTGGCGACACTCTTTATCTATATAAACCTGTGAGGCAGGACCTCAATTAGAGAGAAATCCCTTGGTTGACATGAATTTAGACTGCCTGTGAAAAGCGCTATTCCCATTTGCGTCTCTTTTTAGGCTCAATAAGACTACGCTCACCGGTGTTCCCTTTGCCTAACGTCCTTGATTCTGTTTGAAAAGATTGTTTGGATGTGTTCTATCTAGTTTTCTGCTTGATGATTATGTTGAATGAGCGTCCCCATTCTACTGCTGCCTTTGTTGTGTGTTCTCACCAGCCTCTTTTCAGTTGTCGACCTCCCTCCATTATATCCAGACTTCCTGCGTCCTGCTCTCTTGGACAAGACACGACGTGATTACGTCCCTACGTCAAAAGACCGTTTCTTTATCAGCCCGCCGCTCTGGTTCGTGGGTTACGCGTATCTTGAAGCCGCCTATCATCTCCCGATAAGTCTCTGGCTGGACAATGCTCTCGTCCAAGGTCAGTTTCCCTCAGCAGTTCCTTTCCACCTATCATTTCCCGCATTAAACCGAAGATTACTAATTTACTGCATCTGATTCTTTGTAGACCACGTCCTGCTGCCTCTTCAACTCCTGGTCTTCTTCGTGCAGATTGCCATAGGAACATAGACTTGTATTCTAGATATTATTTCGTAGAAAAGATATACCATTCGGGAGAAGAATGGTTTATGCAGATACTACGTGCCGTACCTCGTGATCGGTGAGCGAAACAATTGCATTTTCTGCAATTTGGCCCAGGATTCCCTAACAATCTTGACCTGTGCAGCTATTCTGATGTTAGGGCACTCGTGTCAGAGGGTCACACGTCAACTTCCGAGCCGAGGATCTATCAAGGATAAGAGGTCTTAAGATTATCGGATGGGTTGACTATGCTATCAACTTCATGAAGGGCTGTAAGGGGACACCAGTACCAGATTCATTCGATACAAACAGACCTATCAACAACTTTTCTTGATCGTTGTAAAATTGATGCTGTGGCCGGTGCACGCTCACTCGAAACAAAGACAAGAGCTTTAGTCCTCTCTAATCATCTTGCTTGGCTTGATTTTTGGGTTCATTCCGTCGCTGTATACCTGCGGACACTGTGTCGGTCATTTGGGCGCCTGTCGGCTTCAGGAGGAGAGAGAGCCCCATGCACACCACTGCAAAGGGAATCAAGGAGTACCAAACATATTTGAAAGATGCTGAATAGCCCCAGCGAGTAGCGGCAGCAGCGGCCGCTAGGATTTCGGGCGTGACGCCTGGAATTTGTGCGATCTGGGAGGTGTCTTGTGTTAAAATCGCTCCAACAAAAGCTGGGACCGAAGATAGGGGAAGGCCGACTTCCACAACTCTTTTCGCAATTTCATCGGGTACCAGAGTCTTTGCCTTGGCGGCGAGGACCTGGGAGAAGATCACAACACCGATGCTTCCCCCCAAGGCCCGGACAGCGTTGGACACACTGGCAGCCGCGGCGATAAGATGGTCTGGTGTGCACAGTGTAACTATCACTTGGAGGACCGTGGTTTGAATGCCGACTCCGGCACCCAACAGGCCAGTGGAGAAGAGCCACGCGGCGAAGTTGACACCCGGCTTGACCACGAGCATCAAACCCGCTCCGAGAAGAAGAAGCAAGAATGTAAAGAAGACAATGGGTTTTGCCTCTTTGCTGTGTGCGAGCCATATTCCTCCTACCATAGCTCCGATGACGGTACCAAAGTTGAAAGGCAGTCCCCACACGCCAGTGAGGACAGCGTCATCAGTGAAGAGGTAGACGACCTCTTGAGGGAGGAATGCCTGTCCTCCGAAGAGGACCATACCGCCCACAAAGCAGATTGCCAGTGTCACCGCAAAATTGCGATGTTCAAACAGGTCGTGACCTAGGATCGGGTCTTTGGTTCCTTTCCACTCCCACAGACAAAAGGCAGCCATAATTCCAGCGCCGACGACAAGGCAGGCGACCACTCGAGTTGATGACCATGGCGATGGGTTTCCTCCTGATTCAAGACCAACTAAGAAGAGGACTAAACCAGCGGTGACCAAGAAGACTCCCAGCCAGTCGATCTGGAGGATTCGCCGCGCCATGGGCAGGTTGTCCGGGTTTGGCCTGGGGCTGGGGTGGTAGAAGACAGCGATAAGCAGGAGTGCAATGGCGTAGCAACCGGCGCAGAGGTAGAAGCCGCACCGCCAACCGTCGTTTGGGCCTCCAACTTCGCCTTTGATGAAGGCTCCGGATATAATGCTGCCCGAAGAGTAGGCTGTCCCAGGGAAGATTCCAGCAACGGCCATGATCATGGGGCGCTTGGACTTGGGTACAATCTCTTGAAAGAGGGGGATGCACAGAAATCCCAATGTAGATCCAGCTCCACTCAGGGCTTGTCCAGCGATGACCATGTTAAGGTTTGAGGCTCTGCCACTGAGGAGCGTGCCAGCAATGCCGAGTAGCATACCGGTCAAAATGGGAATCTTACGTCCAAGCCTATCGCTCAAATCTCCGCAGAATGCTTGAACCGAGCATGAAGCAGCCGTGAAAGAAGCTGAGATCCAAATTCTGTTGGATGTTTCCTCAGGAAAGGCTCGACTGATGAAGGGGATGGCTCCTGAGGGAACAACGACGGAAAATACGGCCGTAAAGTACGTCAGAAAGCAAGCAAGGAGGTTTAAGATAACCTCAATATCCCATGTGAAGTTCGTGCCGGCATCGTCCTCTGGTGCAGGCTCGATGTTGACGACATTTCCGATGGCTTCGTCGTGTACTATGTTGAGAGGTTCTGACTTCTCGTTGTGGAACGACATCATGGACGGATGGCGCGAACAAAGAGGAAACTATCCTGTGTGTTTGGGTTTGTCTGACGGGCTCCTGGAAGCTAAGGTTGACCCACATTATATATCCCCTAGATATCATAAGCATAGGGACAGAAAAATACAGTCGCGGGGTCTCCGCAACTGTTCAGCATGAGAAATCATAGCCTTAGGCTGTCCGCGGGTGCTCCGTCCGGGGTAGATGCTGAGCCATCAGCTCAGCACGCTCTGAGATTTCGACAGACTGAGTCATGGCGTGTCTTGTACGTTGCAAAGGCGCCGCTTCCACAAGCTGACATCGACCAAATGACCTCATCTAGAGTCCACAGTATCAAGTTTCTGGTGAAAACCAATAAACTTGCAGGCTGTCCGAGAGATAATTCCACTTGCCCGGGCCAAACAAACATATTAGCTTCAGGCTGTGGTCCAATTTCTCCTTTCGTGGAGATCGAGCCTGGAACACTAGGCATCTAACTGAGCGTTGTATTCATTATTAATAGACTTTGACACCAATGCTGCAGAATTGCACTCTCATCGTGACAGCTGCCACGCCTCAGGGAATGGAATCCTCCAGTCAGCAACGGGTTGACCGTGAGATAGACCTATTTCAAGGCTGTATAGATATCCGTAGTTGCTCCGTATGGCTCTGGTGGTTTTATGCGATGCCATCTTTCCCACGCGCTTCCGGTCATGGCCTGTGGCAAGACCGCGGCTCGGAGGACCTAAGCAACCGACCATCCATGATCAATTGTCCATTGGGCTCCATTCACGCCGGTCGCTCCAGCCAGAAACACGATTGCTCGTGCAACGTCGATTGGTTCCAGCCACCCCGGCATCGTTTGATGTATAGGGCCTAGAATTTGGGAGCCGATAGGGTCCAGTTTTGCCTTGCTATTCTCTAAAATGTTGGTTCTGACACCCCCTGGGATGAGGACATTGCATCTGATACCATCTTTGGCATACATCCATGCCGTGGTCTTCGTGAGACCAATGACTGCGTGTTTGGAGGTCGTGTACGCTACTCCGGCATCACCTCCTTTGATTCCGGCTGTGGAGGCAATGTTGACAATTGATCCTTTGTGTGCATTGGTCTTGGTTAGAAACTGAAGTATCACAGCTCTTGAGAGATAGAATGGCCCGTTAACGTTTACTGCTATCACTTTACTCCATGTAGATGTCGCGCAGTCAGATGTCCGCTCTTCCTACCAGTCAGATTTATGTCCCGGGTCGCCAAAGACGGGAAACGGACTCACCCATGTTATCCATCACTGCTGCACAATTGACCAGAACGTCCACCGTGCCCCATTTCTCCACGACTTGTTTCACCGCATTATTGCAAGCCTCCTCGGACGAAACATCGCAGTGGATATTCAGGAGCGATTCGTTTGTGGTGGCTTCAGCATCAACGATATCCAGAGAAGCTACCTTTGCGCCTTTCTCCAAACAGAGGGATACTGTCGAAGCCGCGATTCCATTGCTACCACCTGTGATAATAACAACCTAGGGGAGTTCGATGATCAACAAACATTCTAGTAGTGAGATGGCCCGCCCGATAGGTTGTAGGAGAGGTTATTTACCTTGTCTTTGACGTATTCGGACATCGTACCTGATTGTGCGTCTCTTTCTGAAGCCGCGAATGCGAGCCCGGGCTTCAACCCGCTGGTATTTATCTAGTCCTGCAAGCACATTCTTCAAGCGCATCTGGCTAGTCAGAATTTGTCGGGATGTGGGGCTGGAGTTGATATTGTCCGATAATGTGGTGGGGTTCAGACATGGCAATATCATCTAATTCTCGCTTTGAACCGCTATCTTTTTGACCGATTTTACGCTGACGTCGTGAGAATGACATAATTGTCCTTCTTCTCAACTGATCCGACACTTGAGCCTAGTGTGCGCAGAATCGTCGAGAATGACGCTTCAACCTGACTGGCTCTGGCCCAAAGATATCTTGCTGGTGCTCCTGGGACCTAGGGAAGAAGTTCTCCCGTTCAGCTGCCGTCGAAATGCTCTCTGCCTCCAATCCCGCAACGTTGTTCGTGCTACGAACGAGACAAATAATTCGCAAACGTCCCTGTCGCGTTTCAGCTCATAAACACTACGCCAGCGTCGTCACACCGTCAGGACCGTCAACGACTAGAGACGTCGTAGTGGTTGGCTCTGGGGCAGCTGGTCTCACAGCCGCCCTGCGCTGCCATTACAGAGGTCTTCGCCCATTGATCGTCGAAAAGTCAAGCAAAGTAGGTGGAGCAACAGCGTGGTCCGGAGGGGCGGTGTGGGTACCCAACAATACAGTCCATAAAGCCGAAGGCGTTCGAGACAGTGATGAACAAGGCTTGCAGTACTTGAATGCGCTGGTCGGCGAATCTGGACCGGAATCTTCAGATGCTCGGAGGAAAGCCTATGTGCAAAATGCAAGGAAGATGGTTGACTTCCTCAGCGACATGGGCTTCAAATGGCTTCCCTCAACAGGCTACCCTGACTACCATCCCAATCTTCCTGGAGGTATGGGGGGAGGTCGCACTATCGAGAGCGCTGTGGTCGATCTTCGAGCGCTCGGCCAATGGAGGAAACATTTCAATCTCAGCTCAAATTATCCGATGCTCCCACTCCATGTTTTTGAAGCAGGGACGGTGGCTCTTGCCGCTGCTCAGCTGAAAGGCTTTACCGCCCTGACGAAAGTGATGCTTCGTTGGCTGAGATATCGTCTCCTTCTGCAGGATCCCGTCACAATGGGACACGCCCTCGCAGCGCGCCTGCTCAAATTGAATTTGGACCGGAACACCGAAATCTGGAGAGATGCCCCATTGCAACGCCTTCTCGTGAGTTCAGGCCAGAAGAGAGTGGAGGGAATAGTGGTAAAGCGTGATGGAAAGGATGTCAACATCATGCCATCTCATGGAGTCATTTTGGCCGCCGGAGGATTCGGCAAAAATCAGGAAATGAGAGCACATTACCAGCAACAGCCCACGAACCCGGCATGGTCATCGGTCCCAGCGCACGACACGGGAGATGCTATCAGGGCTGGCATGGATATTGGGGCCGCGACGGCTTTGATGGACGATGCTTGGTGGGGCCCGAGCTTCTTTGACGACACTACTCAAACGTCATATTTTGGCCTCTGGGAACGGTCGCGTCCCTATTCCATTATCGTCGACAAGGCTGGTAAAAGGATTTTTAACGAGGCCGAGTCATACGTTGATGCGACTCACGCGCAATATGCACGGGACAGGTCGACCACAGCGATTCCAGCGTGGTTGATTATGGATTCGATTTATGCGCGACGCTATCCTCTCGCCACGATGGGACCGCGGAAGTCTGCTCGCCAGGCACTGAAGTCGGGATTTCTTTACCAGGCCAACACCTTAGGAGACCTTTGTGACCAGATTGGAGTCAGCAAGGATGGTCTCGCAGAGACCGTGCAACGATTCAACAACATGGCCCGCAAAGGCCGTGACGAAGACTTCAACCGTGGAGGCTCAAGCTATGATAACTACTTTGGAGACACCGCTGTCAAACCCAACCCCAACCTTGGTGCCATCGAGAAGGCTCCCTTCTACGCTGTCAAAGTATTCCCAGGCGACCTGGGGACGAAAGGTGGGCTCCTGACAGACGAGAACGGACAGGTTTTGGCTACGGACCAAAAACCTATTCCGAAGCTATATGCTAGCGGCAACACAACGGCCTCGGTCATGGGTCGTCGGTACGGAGGCGCGGGGGCAACTCTTGGTCCCGCCATGACCTTTGCGTGTCTAGCCGTTGACCATATTGCCCAATCTTCCAAGGTGTAACGGTCAGTCCCATGTTTGTAGCATGACTTACGGAACGGAAGTTGGTGGTCCTTGCAGCACTGTTCCACTTGAGAGTGGTGGGAGTTAAAAGTGTGATAATTAGAGGCGGTGGCTCGGAGCTCAAAAACTGCTTTGGCAACATTCTGTGGAACGACGCTGGCTCAATGTTTTGGAAGCAGTTCATAGATGATCATCAAGACGTCCCTTTCATCGGTGAATGCTCTCACGGTAGTCTACTTGCTTTGCTTTGCTTTGGCATCACCATGTTAGAATGGAATTCAGCCTCGTGGTACACCACGGTAGAGCTAGAACTACGGCCTACAGTCTTCGGAACGGATGCCCAGCGGCGATCGTATGACTAAGCCATTTCTCGGAGAGCGGGCCTACCACCCTATTGTGACGAACTGATTTCTCTCCAATTTATTTGTCGCCAACCATTTTGGGGGAGACATGATGGCTTCCACAGGTGCTGGTCCAAAACCGATCCTTCTCAAGGAATTAAACGCGGAGGGGAATCCCTGAACCTTTCCGCTGAAGCAAGCGCGGCATTGACCGAGCAGAAACAAATCTCCCCGAAGGACCTGAACCTGGAGGCCGCAAACCATTGACTCCCCACGGCATACCCGCCACCTCTGGCCAGCAGGAGACTAATCAAAGGGACTCTCGTCAATCTCTCGGTAGCCTTTGCTGACGGTCTGCGTCATGTGCCTGCGCTGTACGGCGAGAAAGTGGCCAAACATCAATCAAGCGATGGCTAGAAATCGGGCAGCGTGGTTGCAGGGCAAGATGCTTCGAAACAGACAATTCCAGCACGTGTGTCAGGGTGCCGAGGAAGCTGTTGTCTTCGGCTTTACCCAAAGGGCAGGCAACCAGAAGTCTGTGGAGCATGCTGTCGCCGACGAAGAAGACTATCCTCGCGGCAAGACAGGTATGTGATGAGTATCCGATCCCAGCGTCTCTTCCCACAGAGGACGACAGACAGATTGTGCTCGACCCCTTTCGGAATCGATAAGACAAGAAGCTCCTGAGCCGTAAAGAATCACCGTGACCAATTTGTTCCAGACACACGGATCAGAAACAATGCATGGTACTGAACCTTCATCGTACACCCATCTGCAGGGTTATTCGTGTTGGGCTGAGAGAAGATTGATTGTTCTAGCAAGACGAAAAGGAAGAGCGCAAGTTGCCAAGCCAAACAGCCTCACGTGACTGGCCGACACGCTTACGGGATTATCGTCCTTGGTGAGGCTTGGATCCTGCCTGTACTGTCGCAGCGATCTCCACATCATCGGTCGGGCAGACAAGGAAAACACGAAGGCGTTCACACAGCATCCGTTCTACCTGGTTAGTCAGCCTGGTGTTGCAGCCTTGCAGCCACCAACATTGGCCAATCACCCCGAGCCGGATGACAAAGTGCGCCATAATGGCCAGCGGCACCTGTCTACGTTGTGCCACCAGGGGCATGAACTCTTCCGACACAATGACAGGCCATGAAAACAGAATGGCCAACGCTGACTCCTGCTTCTCTTCACTGCGTGCTTTTGCTTTGAGCACGACGGCCTCGAGATGATCCAGAGCCTCGAGGCATGCACTCCGTTCTGCAAAAGGAATGTCAAACTGCGACAACGATGCCACCTGCTGCTTTAGGGCAGTGATCTGAGCAACATGGCCGGGCACGCCCGAGGACAGACCACCGGCCACCAAGGGCTCCAGAGCGGAGAGCTGGACGCCATGAACAGTGTCCCACGAGCTGCGCAAAACCGCGCTCACACCACGTATCAGCTGCACGATGCCGAGGATCGATCCGATAGGATCTTGCGGCTTTTCAAGGGCGCCAACGCCAAAGCTGTGGATCACGAGCAGACACGCGCAGGCAAACAAAGCAGGTGTGGCAGCGTCGGCGGGTTTGGCTATCGAGCTCTTCACAACGCGGAGCGAGGGTTCGAGGTGCCGGAAGGATTGTAGGAGGAAAGATTCCCTCTCAGCCGGATATTCATGGGCTAGATGAAGCGCCGAGATGGCGAGGATACCATGGAGGAGGAAAGGATATTCGAAAGCGATCTGCACCACTGTATCTTGCCATATCTTGAGGATTTGGGGATCACTACACTCGTCGAGGACGCTGGAGGTCTTGGAGACATAATGATGGAGGAGCCTGAGGTCCTGCAGGGGCAGTTCGTCCGTGTCGCCTTGATGTCGAGAGCTGGTGTCGGTCGTTGCTGCACAATGGGAGGCTGAGGGAGTCTCTCGATCGCGGCGAGACTGGCCTTCTGAAGCCACCCTTTTAAGGGCAACAGCTTCGGGCCATGTACAGGTTCTGTCGAGGCGAATGCAGTTGCTGCACCGTGGTCGTTGCTCTGGACACTTTGGAGCGCGACGATGCACTGATTAGTCAATGTATGAGATTGGTGCCTGCCCAGGTTTGAGCGAACCCTACCTTGATATGCCGCCGCTTACACGGGGTGCAGCCTTCGCGTGATTTTCGGTGCGATGTGCGTGACGGTCCCATGGCACCGAGGGAACCAGATCATGGGCGACATACAAGTGCACAATAACGAACGAGATTGGGAGAATCTTCGGGTTTCGGGTGCAGGCAAATACGCTCTTTGCACAATTGACGCTAGCTAAGCGGCGCCGACGACCACTCCATCTGATTGGTTCTCCGTGAACCCACTTGTAGAGAGCTTGGCAGAAAAAGAGCGTATTCCGCCATCGGCAAATGATTGCTGCTTTCTAGAGGAGAGAAATGGACAGCTGGTAACGCCCGAGCTGTCTCAACCCCTATCCGAGCTTCCCTCTATTATGCAGAAGGATGTACGAATTGCGGCGCTAGTTTTTAGTGATAGAGGTCCAAACAAGTTCCATAACCAGGCTAATTTTTGTTAGTATGATTTATCTTACACGTGACTCTTGGCAGTGCTTATAGGCGCTATCTGCCTAACGGCTGCCTAGAGAGCGCCTAAACGCAGGCGCCCTCTAGGTAAGTCTTAGGTATCATGACGCCCGGAGAGACAAATTCAGAGTCGCCTGTTGAGTGGATAATACTAACGAAAATTAGCCCGGATACAAATAGTATACGGCGACGACGAGGTTGTATATTGGCGTAATCCAGACTGTACTTATGCCTGACCCATCCCTATATTGCTGCCTAGACAAGTAACTGTGTATCTTAGATAGTCTCAGAAATGGGAATCCTCCATAGCCCAGTTGTATACAAATTTACTATGAGACGAGTTTCCCCGTTTTACTTCAAGAGACTAGCGCATTTACTAAAACTTAGAGTGGCAATTCCTTTTTTGTTCACGCCTCCGTATCCAATAAAAGGTACCTCTTCTCGTCTTCTTTTTTCCATCAGTGTCGTCTCAATTACAATCTTCTCCCCGCGCATTTTCAGCGACGCTCGTTTAATCGGCTGACTCAGTAGTTAGCAACCTTTTTCCAACCGTGTGGCCCTCCCTTCTTCTTGTTTTTCTCTGTGAAGCACTATGGACCGCTATGTCAGTGATTTGCAATCCCGCGATGATGGTTTCAACTTCAAATTGTACCGCTATGTCCCGTCTTTGCCCGCAGCCATCATCTTTGTGGTTATCTTTGCCACTCTCACGGCCCTTCATACTTGGCGGCTATATCGCTCGCGGGCGCTGTATTTTACCGCATTCACTATCGGCGGCCTCTGTGAGCACCAGCCACCCCATGTTTCGGGGGCACTCCAATGGATGGGCTAACCAACGAGTCTGCAGTCGAGACCATCGGCTACTGCGGCCGTATCTGGTCGCACTACGACAATCAGGCCATCGGCGGCTTTGTTATGCAAGCTATCCTTATCCTCGTCGCCCCTGCCCTCTTTGCTGCTTCCGTCTACATGATTCTTGGTCGTCTTATCCGCGCCATACGTGCCGAGCATCTATCCCTTTTGCCGGTGAGGCGGCTGACGACCATCTTCGTGGTAGGCGACGTCATCTCCTTCACACTGCAGGCCGCCGGTGGAGGTATCCAGTCAGCAGGGACACTGAACATGTTCAATATCGGGGAGAAGATCATAGTGGTGGGGCTATGTATGCAGATCGCCTTTTTTGGCTTCTTCGTCGTGACGGTCATCCTTTTTTATCAACGAATCCGTGCTCATCCTACGCCCGAGGCCCAGCAAAACGAAATCCCCTGGCGTCGACACGTCCGAGTCTTATTCGCCGTCAGCATCATCATATTGGTGCGAAGTGTCGTCAGAGTGGTTGAATATCTGCAAGGCAACGACGGGTACTTGATTGCGCACGAAATCTTCCTGTACATCTTCGATGCCACGTTGATGGTGGCGGTCATGACTATTTTGCTTGTCTACTACGTCAGCGATTTGAAAATAGCTCTGGACAGGATCAAAGCGACATCTTCTCCTTTGAGAAGCGATTATCTAATGGACACTGTTCGGGGGGGAGACGGGTCTTAAACCTTGACGTAAACCTCGCCAGATACAGGCCTGGTGCGTTAAGACCATGATCAGCTGTTGAACTAGTGTTCTGGCTCTCCTCATGAATGGAGGATGGAGCCCATCTATATATCTATCTAACGAGCGTACGTCACCATTGCTGCCTGTCAATGGTGATACAGGCTATTGAGCGAGTGTTGCAATATATCCTAGTCTGTTGTAAATGATTGGCTAGCATTTGTTCAATGCTATTGTCCAACATCAGCGGACGTGGCGAAGGTGTCGGTGCTGTACAGCGGGAAATCTGGTTCGAGCTCTCGTACCGCGTGAATGAATGCTATATAAGTCTTCAACGCGCCGCGGCGACACAAACAGTGTTGGTACAGCGTTGTTGGGAGTCGCCTCCGTTACTCCGCCTCCCGCCTCCGTTACTCCGCCTCCCGCCTCCTCAACCTTCGGAGGCGACTCTCGCCTCCCTTAGCGCCTCCTTGCTCGACTGGACCTTCCTGATCAGGTAATCCGGAGCGGATTAACTTTCATCCCTTCAGCGATTCATGGTCAAACCATGCATTGTTGCGCCTCCACAATCTCAATCGACAGATGAATGCGATCCACCGTCAACAACCTTCTCGCCGACGAGAAAACTCTCTCGATCTCCGCGGACGTTGCTGGGATAGAGAGCGTGTCAAAGTCCCACTGATGAAGCGTAGGATAAGGGGCTTGAGTGCCACCAGTGAAAGAGATTATGATCCTTCCACTTCCGCCAAGGCATTTGCGAATGAGGTGGTTGACGGGGTGAATGACGATCGACAGGGTGTTGTTGGCGCCGTACTAGGCACCATATCCGACGACATTTTGCTATACAAATCTACGCGGGAAAGTGTCTCTAAGGGCGACGTGATATCTTCTCTGTGCCTTGGTGCCAAGTCACAACCGAGATTAAAGGTGGCGACTTCTGTCAACGCTGTGTTGGTATATAGCAACAAAATCAGTCGCGCGATAGAGACTGGACCTTTTTTGGGCAGCTTTCAGCACAAAAGGCATCTGGTTTTAACGCAGCCTGGGACCCCTTTAGCTTCAAACAGAGGAATTTCCCTTGTCGACTCGCTCGGAGCTCTCAAGCTTTTATAGGCATTTCTTGTTCGCCTGATCCCCCCCGGAATGTGTCTTCGGTCACGGTCACGGTGGCGGTGTGGAACTCCCTCGTGGGCGTCTTCCTCTCAAACAGAATATCCATTTCCGCTGCAGTTCGGTCCCTTCCCTCCGGTAACAAGAAAAAGGTACCGACAAAGCCGATGAAGGTGGTGCCTCCAAAGACGAAGCCGACTTTACCGACGAGATTGCCCGTGTCGGGATTGAACACGTATGGGAATATGAAGGCCGTCACCCAACTCGTGAAGCTCAAAACCACGTTCCCCAGACCTTGGGTGCGAGATCGCATGCGGAGCGCCGGTATCTCGCTTCCGACGGTCCATCCCACTGTCGCCAGGGAGATCTCGTACAAGAATCCCTGGACCAAGTCAGCCACGCGAAGTCGACCCCAAGGCTCAACCACGTTCACTTACCCAGATGAACATCAGCCCGACAACTCCACGGTACGCCGCGGGGGTCCCGACGACGGACAGTCCACCGATAAGAAAGAGGCAAATGGCCGCGAGAAATTGTCCCCACACAATCAGGGGCCTCCGTCGAACTTTGGCGATGACACACCAAGCGATTATGTTGGTGACAAACAGGAAACTGGTGTGAAGCAATCCGAGAAGAAGAGACTTTTGCGTCGAATACCCGATGAGTTGATAGAAATACGCCTGATAGCCGATGACAAAGGTATTTCCGGATAGATACTGACAACAATACACGAACATGACGATCACTGTCCGGCGTCGATGAGATTTCGAGAAGGCTTCCAAATAACTGTTACTATCTTGTGCGCTTCGGCTGTTCATCGTTCTCTCCATGTCCAAAGTCTCTTCGATCTGCGCCAGGAGCGCCGTCTTGTCGATCTTGCTATGGCGACCATGTAGTCTGTCGAGACTCTTGATGGCAGCTTCTCGCTTGCCCATCCTGGCCAGCCAGACCGGAGATTCTGGCCAGAACCAGAACGTCAACAACACGATGCCTGGCACGATCCATTGGCACGCAAAGGGAATCATGTATGAAGACCGGTATGGGAGTGCGCCGAGATGATACATGACTCCCGTGAAGAGGAACACGCCAGCCAAGAGGATGGTATTGGTCAGGGCGCTCAGCACACCCCGGAGGCGGAGACATGACACCTCCGAGGCATACAATGGACTCAAGACAAGCCACATGCCACAGGGAATGCCGTTGATTGCTTTGCCCACGCAGAGAACACCTAGGGAGCCCTTGGACCAATATTGCACGCAGACTCCGGCCAACGATATGACACACGAGATGGCATTGGCATATCTCCGACCGATCTTGTCGGCAAGCCATCCGGCGAGGATGGATCCCAAAATGCCGCATGCTTGCGAGACACCGCTGAAGATGGAAAGCCACCTGCCCGGGATGATGTAGTACACGCCGGTGCCGGTCGGGTAGGGTGTCCCGTAGTCTTCCCGAAACTTGGGTACCGAGACTTGGTAGCCGGCGATGATTCCATCCATGCCATAGTTGAAAGCGAGCAGCAATCCGTACAAGACCCATAAGGAAGACCGCCAGTAAAGGGTCAGGGCTTGCCAGAAGGTCAGGCTTTTCTCGAACGCAATGGATTGAGCAGCAAGCTGGGCACGAACGTGCGTGTCCTCGATATTTTGCTCCTGGACTTCATCTTTCTCCAAGGTTTGTGCTGAAGCCTTGGTTGTCATGAGGATGACTGGGACAGTGCAAAGATGCTTTGGAGAATGTGCGGACTAACTTGATCTGGGACAAAGAGGAGAAGAGGAGAATAAGCATCTAATAGGCAGGTGTCTAGAGGGCCTGTATCTTTTATATGCACGATCCTCATCCCTCCCATAGGCAAAACTTAGAGTCTAGAGAGTAGTTGGGGGCATGCTCCAAAACCTACAGCTGCGTTCCCAACAAGGTCTACTTCCTGGCATGCATTGAGACGACATCATTAGTCCTTCACAAGTGGTCTCTCGTCTTCACAGGTGTCCTTTCTTTGGGAAGCAAGGCGCCTTTTCGCCAGCCATGGCCCCAAAGAGACGGACTGCTGAACCTACGCCGTCACCTTACCCTTCGTAGAATAATTCGTGCCTCTACTAGCGACTGCCGTTTCCATGGTCTTCTTCAACCAAGGATTTATATTGGGACGAGATTCAAAGAATGCCTCTCGGCTATGTGGTCCCTAGTTCATGGCTGGTCTGTTGAAGACCCCGTGGCACTTTTGGCTTAGGTCAGGTCGACTGACATCAACAATGCGGAACCGGAATACGGAGCATGGGGCTTGTCCTCACTGGCAAGCGACGGCCAAGCGCGCTTCAGGCGACCAGTGTTCCTATTTATCAAACCGTGATTCGAATCACTCTCGGCAAATGCTGTATTTAGCAAATACGAGTCCGTTGTTATCGTGATTCGAATCACCGGAATTGATATCCGGCCGGCCGATCACCAGCGGCGTACATAAATGATATATCTTCATCTACCTATCGACCTCATTGTCGTTTCACTGCCTGTGGACCCTAGCGTTGCAAAAATGACTAACAGTCAATTTACCACCTCCCCTTCTGTCTCTTCATCCAACTTACCGCCGCCACCCTCAGCAAGTATCCCATCGACCAAGCTCTTCTATTCAAAGCAAGTATGGCTTCGTACCGAGCACGCGCCAAGTAAGGAGGCAACATCTAATGCTCGCAGGCACCCCCGAATGAAGCAAAGTATTATTCTTGATAGTGTTGTTAATCAAAAGCGATCGAGGAAGAGTATCGATGCGGATGACGAGGTCTGAGGCAGCTCTCTAAGGACTAGTACAAACCGTAAATGTCGACACATTTCGGTACCATCTTATCCGGTCGATAGTCGAGCGTCATATCTCATTTGTTGTTGAAGATGACAGCTTTCGAGCAATGTTGCAGTCTTCGAATAGATCAATGAAAGGCTATCTCGTCAAATCAGGGGATGGAGGATGAGTTTATCCAGGCGAAGAGGGTCGTGATCGAGGAGGTCCTTGCTCGTGCGAGCTCTAAAATCCATATTAGCTGTGACCTTTGGACCTCTCCTAATGGATATATATAGAATAACTTTCGATAAGGGAGCGCATCTCTTATTCCATACAGAAAACCTTCCATAATAGAATTATGGATAGAAAGCCTAGGCTACGGCTTACCGAAATAGGCAATACCTGACTGTGATTCGGGAATGTCTCGGGAGAGCGACTCGCGTACCACAGCGACGTCACTAAACATCAATCGCGCCTAGTTGTGCGAGCGTTGTCCGCATGATGGAAAGGTACCTGAAAACCCCCCATTTTTCCTAGGGATTTGAAGTACCTTTCCATCCACCTGGCCTCCCTCACATAGTTGGCGTGTCAGACCCTCTCTGCCGCCTATGTAGCCTATCTGTCGCCTCTGTAGTCTTCCTACCGCCTCGTAACCTCGCTGCCGACCCCTTCAGGGCCGTCCTGACGCCCTGTGAGCTTCCTGTTAGTCTTGAATGAATCCATGCTCTTTTGCCTAGTTGTATCTCGCAGTGTGAGTGCGCATTCTCTTGACTCTACCTCCGGCCAGGTACAGACAACGCTCGCACAACTAAGCCCGATTGGTGTTTAGCATCGTCGCTATGGTACGCGGGTCGCCGTGGGTTGTCGCTCTCCCGAGACATTCCCGATGATTCGAATCGTATTTGCTAAATAGGAACACTGTCAAGCGAAGCTCCCTTCTCTGAAATTCTGCGCCGCGGTGTCACAATGATTCGCTGAAGATATCTGAAGTTACCTTCCGAATCAGGAAATTGATATTCTATCTCGTCGTCGACGTTGGTGTAATTAGCTGCTGGTTGAGGCTGCTGAATTACTTCCTGTCGCCATTAGTTACGCAGCAACTTGCACTGTTCAACAGTCTTGTCGTGGAGTGACATCCGCTCAAAAGGCATGGTTCTCCTGGCGCTTGAGAAAGCATGGACAAGACCACGGTGACTGCCATTTACCGACAGTTATGACTGTCGCTATAGCCGCCATGAAGTTATGAGTTGTTTCTCTTCTACAAGTTGCTCTGCCAGCTTGCTGAAATATGTACACGTTTGGTTGCCCCTATTCTTCTCCTTTTCTTGCCTCTATCTCCTGCATAGCAGTGACCCCTATTGTCGAACAAGGTTCTCCTGAGAGCCCCTTTATTGGAAAAAGAGGTTATCACCTCTATGTAGAATATAAGGGCAGAAATAGAAGAAGAAAAGGGGTTAACCTAACGTGTATATATACCAGCAACCTGGCAGGATCAGTCGCAAGGAAGACAGAGCGTTCAATACATCTCAAGTTGTTCCCCAGTTTGACACCTATCTCCTGCATAATAGTGAACCTCTTTTCCTGAAGGAAAAGGAGTGCTAGCAACTGTTCAGCACCATTAGATGTTTGTATCTTCAACACGCCAGTCATGATTGGCAGTTATGACTGTACAGCTGTAACGTGCAGAGGGTATGGCAGAGAGAAATCACGTGTACACAAGAATAGGGTGGGGAATGGCAAAGGACTGAAGCCTTGCCTTCTTGCAACTGGTGACCATCAAGTTTACATACACAATGTGGCCATTGGCCCCCACATTCAGCTCCTATACATAGTATAGTTTGTTGGCCCCAATGTTCTATGGCTGAGTCCAACCGACTGTGTAGGGTCCAAGCAACAACCATGCCGGTAGAGACAGTGAGAGAGGATATCGTTATGCGATGATGCTCATTGTAACCCCCCGAAGTCTAGGAAACCGTTCCTATTGCTTCCTTACGGAACTATAGCCACACACACAATACTACTACAAGAGAAGGTATGAAAGACTGTGGCGTTCATACCCGCCTAGTCTATGTTTGTTGTGTAATGTAGATTCATTCTTCCAGATCTATAACTATTCAACAGGCACAATTGGTTGGCCCATATCGGGGGGACAGTGTTAAGAGCTTCTTGGACCCCCTTTCTAAGAGATGTCCCATTCAACATCCGAGTTGCGCAGATAGGGGGTCATCATATCGTAATCACCCTTGGTCTCGCCTTCTGTCTTTCCGTTGCCCAAGAACCCCCATGGGTCGTCGTCCAGATAAGACATGTTCCAGTGTTCCCAGCGGGGGTATTTGATACACTTAAGGAAATGGATAGACTGAGAAAGGAGGGCACCTAATTAGCAAGACACAACACGCGGTGGGGAGTGGTTGTAGCATACCGATCCCCCCCAGCACATGATCTTACCATCCACAGTGTTGTTCTTGTACCAGCTTTTGCAGTCACTGGACCAGACACCCGTCGTATGCCATTTGTCTACGTACTCGTTGAGCTTGGTGGTGATGTCTGCAGAGACGTCCATCGCCTTGATGCGGTCTGTTTGCATCTTTTTCGCGGCCTTGATCACATATTCAATTTCGGTTTCGAGGCACGGAAGCACAGTACCGTTGCACAGATTACCTCTAGGACCATTTATGACAAAGTAATTGGGGAAGCCCGGTGCCGCCATCCCGAGATAACAGTTAGGGTTCGGGCTCCATGAATATTTGATATCTTGACCGTTGATGCCAGTGAGTTGGAAATGAGGCGTCCACGCCATGTTAAATCCTGTAGCACAAACGATGATGTCCACCTCGTGGAAGCTACCATCGCCAGTACGCAGTCCGTCGTTGGTAATTTCGATAATCTCATCATACACCGGCTCTACATTGGACTTGATGAGGGCTTCCAGATAGCCATCACCCGGTGTGAGGCGCCTGTCGATGTTTAGCTCCAGAGGAAATTTGGCCGCGTACGGCCGGAGTGAGGAGAAAAACTCGCCTGCAACCAACCGACCAAGTTGGGATCAGCTTCTTGGTGAGTTCAGGGTGGTTTTGTAGTCGTCGGATCATGTCATTTTTCATATACTTCTCTGCCATCTTGGAGGCTTCCGAGTCTTTATAAAAGATTGCGAACCCCTGGTTGATTGCGTATTCAATCTTCTTGCGGTAGTTAAGCAGGAATTCAGGATCCGACTCAAATTTTTGGATCTCATGTGGCTTGTAGTAGTATTGCTTGATATCCGGGTTGTCCGCTTCCTTGTTAGGGTGATCACCGTCTGGCAGGGCGGCATCGACCTGCACACGAGGCATCGGAGGAGCGATCCATGTTGGGTTCCTGCGTAGTCAATGCAATTCTCTTCAAGGTGCTGGTCACGTAACTCACCTCATGAAACATACCAGCTTCGTTGCGACTAAACGGATGCCTTAGTTCCATGCCTGGCTTAGCTGCGAGTCGACAGGTTCTACCTTTCTGTATTTCTGGAACGATTTGAATGGCTGAAGATCCTGTACCTAGGATAGCCACTCTCTTGTCCTTGAAGTCAACCGATTCTGAGTTTCGTCAGTACCTGAATGCATTGCTGAGACGGGTACAACCTACCGTCCCAGGCGGCTGAGTGGATCAAGGGTCCTTTGAAGGAATGCAAGCCATCAATCTCGGGCCCTGTCCATCATGTCAGCAGCCAGAATCGGGACTATACCTCGGCCGTTTCACCTACATCTCCACTTGTTGATCAAACCAGAGCCGTTCATCAAAATGTTGCACCAGTCCGTGATGACCTTGTCGCCACTCTGAATCTTCACTTCGTACTCGCCTTTCCCCTCGTCCCATTTGGCCCCAAGAACCTTGTGTTTGAGCTTGACATATTTGCGCAGATTGTACTTCTCGGCGAATCCCACAAAGTAGTCCTGTATCTCTGGAGAGTACTGTTCCAATACGGATGGTCAGCGAGTTTTTGAAGTCGGACCTGTGAGTCCTGATTCTGTACCGACTTACGGCGTAGTAAGATGACCATTTTGGATTCGGCTCAAAAGTGTAGGTGTAAATGTGAGCAGGACTGGAACATTGGTATGTTAAACTTCCGATTTAGTGATCATTATCGTGCGGACTTACACATCGCACGCACAGCCTGGGTATCGATTTTCGTACCAGGTGCCGCCGATCTCGTCATTCTTTTCATACAGCACCAGCTCGTAGTCGGTCAGTTGTCGCTCCATTTTAAAAGCTGTGCAGAGGCCCGTGGCGCCGGCGCCGACATGGATGATCCTCAGTTTCCGAGGTTGAGAATGCCATTGATTAAGCAGCCCGTTTGGAAGACGCTCGCCTACTTCAGGCTCGTGGGTGACGGCAATGGAACCCATTCTGAGTTGGATATTTGACACGGGTGTGTCTTGGACCTCACGATAGACTTGATGGAAGGTGACGAACTTTGCTCAAGGCACTGGACATGGAAAAAATCAAGATTTATAGAGATCTATCCCCGAATGTCTCATGCGGTCTGACAATGGGCCTCCTGACTGTGAGGAGTGCATTGTGGACTGAGGGAAGTTACAAACTGACATGAGGCGAGCGATGGCGAGGGATGCATTGTGGGGGGAGAGGGAAGTTGAAGTTGCAGACTGACACGGACTTGATGACCTCAGTTGCTCGGCCATGGATCCAGTAGCTCTGTGTACCAGCTCCACATCTCGGTCCCCGAATATCATTACGAATGAATCAGGCCGAGAGTGTCCGTTTTATACCGTTCTAGATATGGCTATTTAATTGAGTGGGTGGTGTATCAAATGCGGCCTTCAGAGCATTGCAGATCTCTCGCCAGCTGCCTTCGACATCTTCCTTCCGGTAGTCCTTGTCACCCTCCTTATAATGCGTAAACCCATGGATGGCCTGCGGATACTCTCTGACGGATACGTTGACGCCAGCTTGCTGTAGCTTCTCTGCGTACGCACGAGATTCATATTTCAGACAATCCATCCCTGCATTTATGACTAGAGCTGGCGGAAGTCTTAGCTGCTTCAGTAATTCAACTTCCGCCGTCAAAGGCGCCACAAAAATCTGGTGTTTATCAATGTACGGTGGGAGATACGACGCTTCCATCATTTCTGCGGCCCATATCGGCAGGCTTTTCTCCCGGACTTCTGTATCGCCCTGCAACCAGCGCTCCGAGTATGGTGATTGCAACTGGACACTGGGATAGATTAAAACTTGGAGAACCTGCCTGAAGCGAGCTCGCAGGCCATCTCTGAACTGCGCACAAGGTCCCGAAGTGAAAGAGACCAAGAGTGATAGTGCTGCTGTGAGATTCCCTCCAGCCGAGTTCCCTAGCACAGCAACCCGTGATGGATCAACAAAGAGTCCTTCACTCGTGGCGTCCTTGGAGAGAGCCCATTTCAACACGGCCCAGATCTGCAGAAGAGCGTGGGGATACTCGAAGCGTGGCGACTTTGCGTAATCCACCGAGATCACCACCGCCCCAGTCTATAAGAAAGATGACAGATTTAGATAGAGACTGTAATGTTTTGACGGGGGGTTTTGATCGTCATACCTCGTCTGCCATTAACCGATCGTTCTTCCTCCCGTCTTTTGGCTGGCCCAGCACGAACCCTCCCCCTTCGAGGACCACTACTAGAGGCAGTGGATTTTCGTCTTTTGCCGTGTCTTTGTATCCAGAAGGTAAACACACAGAGACTTTAACTCTGCCGGACCCAAGCCCCGGCGTTGGGATCTCTAAGTCTTTATCAAATCCTTCGTGGCGGCCATTGACGTAGGACACTAAGGCTCTGAGTGCTGCAGCCGTGGCGTGAAGGTACACGGCGTAAAGGAACGAATATCGGGTCCCAACTGTGATTTCTGGGGCTCTGATCGCTGTCTGATCCATAGCGATAATTTGCTTTGAGTCTGAAAGCAGTGCACGTTATTACCTCCTCGACCAAAATGCCTATTTTTACGGTCTTTGGGGCCTAAGGTGGCTGACTCAGTGACGCCGAGATCAATCAAACCGGGGCTCAATCGGTGTGACACCAGAGCGTCGAATCCAAACTCGGCCAGTAAACAAGGGCTCTGCACCGCAGGCTTACCTCAGTCAGGATGACATTGGAGGATAGTGAGCGGGGGGAATTGACCATTAAAATAATAAAGCCATGAGCTGTCGAAGTCAACTGCCTTGCAGACTAGTTTCGCTCAAACAAAAGCCGTCGAAGCTGGCACACGAGTACCACACGCCAGCCGTCACGGAAAGAGGAGCAGCTTCGTAACTTACAATAGCACCAATCGAAATGGCGACAGCAGCGGATATGAAGCAGCTCGAGAACATGCTACGAGGACATGTCTCGGCAATGGGTTATCCAGTAACGGAGATTGTGCTGTTCAAACTGGCCAAGGAGCGCGACAGCGAAACGACGGCCATGATTGAGCGGGATTTCGTGAAGCCATCGTCCATGGGCGAAGGTGTCAGGCGAGTGGGCTGGGGCTACTCACTTACCGCCCCGGACACGTTCGTGATCATGTTCTCCTGGCGCAAGATTGAGGACCACTGGGCGTTCTGGCAGACGGAAGCATTTAATCCCGTCATCAATTGCATAGCGACGTGCTTCGAGCGGGGCAGGCCGCTGGTGCGGCACTACAAGGTCGTCCCACCGGGGATGTTGTCGGAGGAGTATGTCAGACTCTTTGTCTGGGATGAAGGGGCCGACCGGAGTGCAGACGATATCAAGGACAAGGTCGCGAGCAAAGCGAGGAACTACAAGAGCAGCAAGGCTGGATTTGCTGTTGACATGGGTGAGACGACTTGGTGCTCGGTCCTGTTGGGTTATGACAGCGAAGAGTCGGCGAAGTCAGACGAGGTCACGCCACAGCTTGAAACGCATCTTCTCAAGCTCCAATACATTGATGGCGCAGACACCGCCACTGCGTGAGTTTGAAGAACTGTGTGCATATTCGGAAATCGTCTCCCCGTAACGCATAAGGAGTATTCGCGCGCTGTAGGACAACGCTGGCTACTCACTTGTTGTTCCCGGCAAGCGGCTGATGGAATACCTTCGATCTTGCAATGCTGTCTCAAAAGCATCCTGCGTACTGTGGATATTCATCAAAGAAACTGGCCTTCACCTTCCAAAACTTCAGAGACTTTGCCTGCCGCTCGATCATCTCGATCACATCCATACTCCCTGGCGGCATGCTGGTGTCTTCCGCAGCATTCCGAGAAAAATTGGGGTCGAGATTTTGCATCAGACTCAGACCAATAGCTTCGATGTCGACCTTTGTGGAATCCCGAATCAGTGCTTCTCGAAGTTTGGGCCTGGGGCTGCAGTCAGATCATTGGAGTTTGTGAATGAGCAAAGATCAGTATGTGATGCATGTGAGCTGTCTAGATACCACTGGTGACAGATGGCTGTCATCAGACTTGATCGAGATACTTTTCACTCACCAGACCAACATTCCAATGAATGACTGATGAGGCACTATGCATTCTAGTGGAGTTGGGCGTAGAAAGCTGGGGACATCTTCGTAAGCCTCCGAGGTTTGCAGGACATGCCACTAAGATTAACAGACTCAAAATCAGCTTCCACGTTGACGGATAATGGGGTAAAAGCATACCCGCAGAAATAGGTATTGCACCCAGAAAACGGCTAACAAGTTCTGCAGCGGTGCAGGTATCTCGGACACATAGTGAAACAGGCGGAAAGAAAGACAATCAACCGGCAAATTCGCCAGCAGCCTTCGCAGGGTTGGACGACTCATGTCAAATCGGCATGCTTGATGTTCTTTTCCGGCTTCCTCGATGAAAGTGAGGAATACCTTATCCGAATGACAGGCAGGAGGTCCATATCGTGGGAAACAGGAGGCTCTGGGAGTTTTCGATAGGGACATGGATCTTGGGATGGCTTCGCCGGGAGACTTGGTTAATGTGAGATTTGATTGCTCTTCGTCGTGTATGGTGACGATATCCGACATATCGTGCTGTTCTAGGTGGAAGCGGCCGTAGTCGACATGTTCCCTAGAATCGACCAAAGGAAATGGAGCCTCATTGGACGCACCGAAGTCGCCATCGCCCGAAAACGCGGCCGGCATATCTGAAGTTACCAAGCGCAGTCGATTCAACGGATTACCTTCAGTACCCATGCCTATATTCGACACAGGCATGGTGTTGTTTATGTCAGATAGAGTGTCCGGCTTTGGGGCCTCTCCAAGGTTGAACAATGTGGAGATCCAGTGGTCTTCGTCAGGATGCCCGGCATCTCCTGTTGGGAAGGGAAAAAGTTTTGATCCCTGTGCAACAAATTCAGCCCAACTCGTAACAAGGAAAAGTCACGCCTAAGTGAAACACGGCGAAAGCAACGTACTGCGGAGTCGAGACGCTGGCCTCTCTCGTCGGGAAATGACGCAAGGGAGCCTCCCTCCTGGGTTGACGGCTCAGAATCTCCTAGCAGGCCAAACGCATCGTGGACATCCGTGTGATTATCGTTGACTCCTTCGCAGACAAGATCTATCGGTGAAGGCGTGGTTAATTTTGTGGGTTCTGATGATGGAATATCATCCACGCAAACTGCCATGCGAACTCTTTCGAGCTTGGCAGTCAATGCATTGCAACGTTCTTGGAGCCGCGCCTTTTCGGTCTGCAGTGCGAGAAGTCGGTCGTCGCGACTGTTCTGGGTGTTCAGGTCTCTGACAATCTCCTCGAGTTGGCGCACATAGGCCTTTTGCCGCTGACGATGTCCCCGTTGCGCACGCCGGTCTGTTTCCCGCTTTCGTGCTCGACGAGTCGAGTCTCTTGAGGCACTTGGCTCCTTGCCTGGTAGGCACGAGCCAACGTCCGCGGTCATAGAAAACTCTGAGCAGCAAGGACAGATATAAGATGGTCCAGGGGGGAGGTTGGCTTCAAGTGGTTGTTGTAGATGCGGTACAGATGTTGATGGCGACAACAAAGGGTTCCAGTTTCTCCGCACACAACCCCCCCCCCCACCATCATCCTGGAACTAGGCCATCCGAACCATGCCGTATGAAGCTAGATGCTTCCAACCCCATATGCCTCTCCAGGTTTGGCCGGGGTGACACTTACGGCAGTCTGGTTGACTCAGCTAGCGTGGAGCCATCCGCTGCCCAAGGCTCGTAGCGAAGCAACCACGCGGGCAGATGGTCTTTGGTAATTCTGCCTTGGTCCACCTGATGCACCTCGATTAGGATAACTCTTTGCCCTGGAAGGAGTCGTGCACAGCGGAGCCCGATGGTAGATGGATCTTCAACCACGACCAAAACCTTGAATTGCACCCTAGACTTCAATGTCGCTTTGCTCCGCCGATAATGGATATCACAGACCTGAGGTAAAATGAACTGAGTCAGTCGCACCCAAAGGCACTATGAAGCTAGGAGGAATCGTTTACCTGAAGTGATCTTCCTGGCTCATCAAGGCCACCCACCGGCGGCGATTCCGGTCACCCTTTGGCACAATGAGTATCATTGAACGTCCCTCTCCCGAATTTCTCAACAGCAAATTACCATCAAAAGTTGCAGTGGTGACTGGATCAGCCTCAGGAATTGGATATGCCACAGCAAAACTCCTAGCTGAATATGGGGCACAAGTGGTGGTCGTCGACCTGGACGCGGCGCAGTCACAGAAAGCGGCGGACTCGATCGGCCACGGCGCTGCATCTCACGCATGCGACGTGACTTCGTGGACGCAACAGGTTGAGCTCTTCGAGTGGGTGGTGTCTAAGTTTGGGGCGTTGGACGTGGTTATATGCAATGCAGGCATTGACCCCGAAGTCAACAACACTTTTCCCGCTGGACATCCCACAAAAGAGAAGGCATCAAAGAGCGTCTTCTACGATTTCTCCGCCGATGAGATGGAGGAAGTGGAAGATGGCAAAAGCCAGAGATTGAAGGCTCCCCCGAAAACAATTTTCGATGTCAATCTCATGGGGCCGATCTACAACCTCAAGCTCGCAATGCATCATATGAAACGATTAGCCAAGGGCGGACGAATCATTTTCGTCGGATCAGCCAATTCCTACCTTCCTCTCTCCGACACATCATTGTACTGCGCCTCCAAACACGCCATATTGGGTTTGATGCGCTCAGCGTCCAGGAGAACAGACTGTAAGGAGGCCAATATTACCATCTCGCTACTTGTGCCATGGACTACCGTGACACCTTTGACAGCACCCATCTTGGAGCTTATTCCCGACTCCATGATAGTGAAGAGCGTCCCTGAAGATCTCGCCTGGGCCGTTGCATATCTTGTCTCGGCGGAGCCTGACAAAGTGAATGGAAAAGGTGTATGGGTCCAAGGGCAGAAGATGAAAGAAGTTGAGGATGCATACTATGATTTTACATTGACGTTGTCGGAATCAACAGGGGAGAAATGGACAGAAGAGTAGGCCAGGTCCGAACTGATAGATCTCCCAAACCGAGATATTTTTCACAAGTGCTCCCAAACTCCGATGTTAAAGAGCTCCATCGATTTAGGACCCGACTCCCTGGAATTGTCGTAGAGTACCCAGGCCATTGATGATGAATTATATTCTGACAATGCTTCCACTGCCTAAAAATTCACAAGAATCGTCGTCACGAGAGTGCTCCTCTTACGGCGCTAGCCTATGTCTTAATAGAGACTCTTCTTAATGCGAGCAATATACTAACAACGTAGAAAAACTTATAGAAGACTGCTTAATCTCAATGCGAATAGTACGATGGTATTTCGCTACAGTGGGGAGGTGGCAAAATAAATTTAGGCTGTTGGTCCCAATGCTCCGCGTTGTTTCGGACCCTTCTGGCTTCTGGCCGCGCCAGAAGGGTCTGAGCTCTAATACGTGTAATGGGCTTTTCTTAACGTTCGTCAGATCAAAAGTTTTACTAGTAAAATTCTCTGCACTTTCATAGAACTATACTTCACTGTAGCCGTCATTCAAGTCATTTAAACGTATTTCAAAAATTACTCATACTGATTATATGTCATTACATAATGAACGCGAAGGACAGGGGTTTTCGCGTGCTGGAGCTCAGACCCTTCTGGCGCCGCCAGAAGGAAGTACTTGTCTCAGTCGGCTCATCCTCGGTTGCCGAGGCAAGCCGCTGATTGAGGCTAATCTAGCCTCGACCAATCAAAAAATTCAAAAGAATTTTTGGCAAACGAGTCCGACACCCGATACGTGGTCCTTGGTGTAGCATCTCCTTCGTCCCGTAACATATAAATTACACCACCAGAAATGTGTGTATCGCCGCGTATAATGCCGAACGGATATTAATTATGAGAGAATATGTTACTCGATACTCGTTGAGAATGTTTCACAGATCCAAGAATTCTTGGATCTGTGAAACATATTAGATGCCAGTCCACTTACGATGCGTATATCCGTTCACTTCTAGTGCACATAGTAGTTCTTGTCGGCCAGATGTAGTATTAGTCTTATCGTAAAGAAGAAATGCTCGAAGTCCTTGGATGGAGTTTAGCCCCTTTACTTACTCATCCCCAAGTCTGGTTAATGGTATTGTAAAGGTGATGAACGGTTTAGCACTTGAGTGCCTGTCATGCAGGATGTCGTCGCCAAAGCTGTTGAGCAACCACCCACCAAGCTCTAATTACAAGAAAAGTTCAATGCTCTCGCCATCTTTATACCCACCCATGTTTGCTTGCCCCTTACATAATCCATGCACGTAGCGCCCCGCTACAGTATGATATATAGTACCCATCCAGGCCGGAGCAATGGATATATCTGTCCAATGAGACTCTTCCCGGCGCTGGTCGGAGCATATAGTATTGTATCACGCCTCATACCCAGGCTTCTCAACGAGCCGAGACTGAGCGAGACCAGTCGAGCTCGGGCAAAACCCTAGCTCGTCTCGTCTCATTTATGGACCGGATTAACTATTTTCCGAGGCCTTCGCCATTGGATCCAGTCTATAGACCACCTAAAACTCTACTAATCACACTCGACATCCCTCGTAACCGAGCGTGAACGACGAGCCTCGACGTCGACATGGTTCACGGATTAACATTTTTCCTAAATCACGTGCTCCCCCGGTGACCCCTCGTCGCCCATCGGATCCAGTCTATGAACCACCCAACCCTTAACGGATCAACCATTTTCCGGAACTATGTGCTCCCCTCGCCCCCCCCAGAGGGAGGGGGCCTCCCATTCGATATCGACATGGTCCATGGATTGGATCCGATGAAATCCTCCCTTTGTCACGGGACCACATGCCAAGGATTACATAATCGGGGGTTCTTCAAGCACTTCCTGCGTAGCATCCCATTTTGACTCTCTTCGTGCTACGTCTTGTACCTAGAACTCCTAGAATACATTATTGTCTCCTTGACCTCGAACCCTCACACATTGGATCCAATCCACGGACCACTTCGAGCGGGGCGCTGAACACGTGATACTTGGCACTTGATCACGTGCGATCAACTAGAGCACTTAACTAGATCTGTTTGACAACCCTCCATCGGATCCAGTCTACGGACACCCTCAGAGGAGGGGGGTGGGGGGTGTCGCACTTGTGGTACAACTCGAGATGAAGGAGCGCTCTCTGTTCCCTATCTACCTATCGAGGTGTTGAGGCTCCTTTTATAGACACACGAATGCTACACTGTTGCACAGAGCAACCATCTGTAACGTTGTTGCCCATGGAGACCTCTCGTCATCCAACACACCCCCCCAGGAAAGACATCGTCGACGTTTCAATCCTTGTTGACGATTCTTTCCTGAATATCTTCCAAATTAAGTTGCTCAACGAATGTCTGAAATTTCTGTCTAGACAGTGGCTTCGTAAAACCATCTGCAATCATTTGACTTGTCGGTAACCAATCTACACAAATACGTCGTTGTTGAACCTCTTGCCGTAGCCAATGAGTGTGTATATCAACGTGTCGTAGCTTCGTAGTCAACTTGACTGCATCTTTGGTCAACAAACGAATGGTTTGAGCATTGTCCGAATAAATCGAGGGATTCTCCTCGGTGTCGAATTGAATATGGTTGAAGAGACGATTCCACCAAATCATCTCTTTTGATGCTTGTGACAGAGCAAGTAGTTCAGCCTCTGTACTGGAAGTTGTCACAGTCCTCTGCTTCGAAGCCTTCCAATCAATCGCGCCTCCAAACAGCATGAAGACGAAGCCATTGGAGCTTCTTCGTGTGACTTTGTCATCTGCAAACGCGGCATCGGATGCACAAAGGAAGACGCGCTCAAGTGTCGTCGGAGAGTACTTGATTGCCAGCGTCTTCGTCTTGACCAAGTATTTGATCATTCGCCGTGCTTGCTCAATGTGCTTTGGTGAAGGATTCTTGAGGAATTCAGCAAGTCTTGAGCATGCATATGCAATGTCGGGTCGTGTCATGACATTGGCATAATTGCAGGATCCAACATATTGCTGATACAAGTAGACATCTTGCGCCTTCGCTTCCTTGTCATATGGAGCAAGGTCAATGTTGGCGTCAAGCGGTGTGTTCGGCAGCTTGTCTGACGGTGAGATGTTGAACTTAGTTGCGAGTTTGTCGATGTATGAATCCTGGCAGAGCCAAATCGTACGATTTCCACGATCACGTACGATGCGAATCCCAAGGAACCACGAGGCTTGGTTCAGCAGACGAAACTCGTACTTATTCGTCAATCTCCTAAGGAAGTCGTCAAACTTGCCCTGGTTGTCCTTGTGATATAGCATCATAATATCATCCACGTAGAAAAACACCACGAGCCAATCATTGCGGAGCAAGCAGTTCACTCCTGGCACTTGCTGCAGTTCCATATCTTCAAGTCCACGTGTAAACTCGTTGTACCACAGTAATGGCGCTTCCTTCAAACCATATAATGCCTTCAACAACAGAAGCGCACTATCTTCTTCCTCAAATCCTTCTGGAAACTCGACAAAAACCTCCTTGTCGAGGGTTGCATTCAGGAATGCACTAATAGCGTCAAGTTGCACAATTTCAAGGTCGAAGTATGCTGCGATAGCAATCAATGCTCGAAAGGTTCGACATGCTAACGTTGCCGCATACGTTTCATCACTGGTAAGTTGCAAATCACCACGCACACAAATACGTGCTTTGTACTTGGTGAGGTAGCCATCCTCATCAAACTTGTATGTAAATACCCATAATAATGGTAGAACTTGCTTGCCTTGTGTCGACACTCTGGGTACTCGCTTGAATGTTCTCTTGTTCACAAGCCCATCAAACTCGACTTGTGCAGCTTCTTTGAAACCCGAAGCATGTGGATGCTTCAACATCGCTTTCCAACTTCGAGGTGCAGGTGGCAAATCATTTTGGTGTATTCTTTGAGCTTTCTTTCCATTCATGAGCCCTGTCATGAAAGCTGTGTGAAATCCATTAAGTGTACTTGGTGCTTCGTCCACTGCTACCATATACGCTTGATTTCGAGGCTTACGCACTCGGCGTTGCCCTTCGGGAAGAATGTTGTGCGGAGACGTTTCTGCCGATATCTCTGCGGCGCGCGGAGCAACGTCCAAATTTCCACTTTGAGGAAGGTCAACCGATGTGTCGTCATTTTCTGCATTCTGATTGGTCAAAATTCCCGCAATCTCTGTGCTCTGATTGGTGGACGTAATCACACCCCCGGGGTGCGATTGCGGCGCAAGTTCGGGCGTGGACTCTGGCGTTGGCAACATCACATCCGACGATGTTGTACTATCTTGTTCGATCTCTTTCTGTATATGCTGTTGTGCAGTTTCCGGTGGATGGCGAATAACAATCGTGTCAGGTCCATCGGTTTCCAGGTCATAGTTGGGTTCATACGGCTCAGAATCTTGTAAGTTGTTGAAGTCGTCTAGCACTTCCATAACTTGCGGTGCAGCTTCACGCAAAAGTTGCTCAGTTGAGACATCGTCTGGATTGTAGAATCTCGTCTCGTCGAAGGTAACATCTCTTGTTCGAATGACTTGATCGGCATTCGGTTGCCATATTCGATAGATGTTTGTCGAGTCATATCCAATTAAGTAGCCGATCGATGCTCTTTCCTCAAGCTTGTTGAGTCTCGGAATGCCATGTCTAAGCGTGTACGCCTTACAGCCGTATACTCTGAGATGCGACAAGTCTGGCTTCGTGCCATGTAGTGCTTCGAATGGTGTCTTCCATTTGAGTATTCTGGTGGGAGTTCGATTGAGCAAGTATCCGGCAGCTTTGACAATCTCAGGCCATAGGTTTTCTGGCAGTCGTGCATGTATGCGCATCGCTCGTGCGGTTGCCACTATCACCCCCCCAGAGCGTTCCGCGTTTCCATTTTGCTGTGGCGTGTTGACAGCTGAACGCTCTGATGATATGCCATTATTTGTCAGTAGTGCTTTGAAGTCATTTCCAAGAGTCTTCTCCCCATCAAGGCGGATGAAAGCAACTTTCTTCTCATATCGTGTTTTGACCATGTT